TTTAGACTTAATAGATATAAGCTATCAGATTTTATATACGCCCACATGAAATGGGGGACGTATATTGTCGTCACCCATATTATTCCGTCTCATTCGTATCTACGGCGGCCAATCTGGCTACACCTGGTCAGACAATGGCCGCCGTACATATGAATGCTTCCGCCCTAGGCCCGTGACTATGTGCACCCCCCCCCCCCCCCCCATCTCCTCTGGAAATATATTCGCCCCCTCAATTGAAGCTGAAATCAGTCTCTATCAGCTATTGCCTAGCGACCGCCCCTTTGGGCTGGTTACAGGCCTGCTCCGTCCGTCCACAATTACAAGGTACAATTCTTGATGGATTTTGACGAAACTTGGTATGAGTGTTTGAAGAAATTTGGTGAAATTCTTTATCATCAATGATATTATGGATGAACCCCTTTGAAAATCAAAAAATGCTTTATAGGAGTTATTGACCGTGTTCTTGAAAATGCTTTCAATTTTTAGCTCATAAACACTAAAAGGCACGATTCTTGCGGGCTTTGACAAAACTTGGTAATGTTTTAGTATCGCCCCAAAAACTATATGACTGATGTTTAATATTTCATACTGGTGATTGTAACTGTACTGCCAAATATTTTTATTCAAATCAAATCTTCCAGTGGGCGTATATTACCTTGCCTGGCAAGCTATCTTGTACTATAATAAATTATATTTTGTAATTAACTAGGCGTTGTTTACTTGAAAATGTCAAAATGAGATGACATCTGTTGAGAAATGTGCCGTAAGATGACCTTTCCATTTCGTTAACCGAATTTCATATAAAATAAAAAAATACTTTTCCTTGTTGGCAATTTATTTTATTTTTAAAGGGATTGTTAAGAGGTTTTCTTAAAAAAAATTATGTACATGTATATCTGGGACACTGATAGCATCAATTTGCACCATTCCAATTTTTAATCAGACGTCTTTGGTTTCTGCAATTCCTCAAAAATGAAGTGTTTGATGGCGTCACTGTAGAATTGCAGAAAATTGAAAATAATAAATGGAGTTTTACGTCCTAACAGAATTGCAGGAACCACAGACGTCTGATTGATTGTTGGAATGGTGCTAATTGATACTATCTACTGTTCAAGATACACTGGATACACATAAAAATTTTTAGAAATCCTCTTTAACAATCCCTTTAAGTATTTGTATTTGAATTTTGAATTAAATTAACTGGTCAAATTAAACCCGATTCATTCACCAGTAGACAAGTTAACTATGGCACCACGACATATTTTACTGATAGTTCTAGCTTTACTAGCTATCACTGAAACATCAACTAGCAGTTCCAGTTCCAATTCCAAAAGTAAGAATTAATACTTATACTTAGTTCGTCTATTATGGAAAGATTCTTTTACTATCGATATAGTGAAAAGACGAATCGTGTCCTCATCGTTTCCAAACCTCATCTATTCGCGATTTCTATTTTCTTCAGAGAATACCCTATCGACTATTTCATCTTTTACATCGACATTTTTAATATGGTATATATTTCATGTGATAGGTGACGAATATATGCCTGTACGATAAACATTTCATTCAATGTGTGTTTTTTTTGTATTTTCATTACCTTGTCGGAAAGACCCATGTTGATGCCATGAGTGTCTAGAATACAACTTATTGATACAGATTTCATAACCTTAACAACCTTTGTTATTATGAAAGTAATTTATCTTAATTCAGACAAGCGTCGATGTCACAATTTACCTACTCTCAATAATGGACAAGTAACCAGAACTAAGAGGAATAAAGTAAAGTATGAATGCAACACTGGGTTCAGATTAGCAGTAATGGCTGACTGTCATAGGTCTTGGACTCCACGCGTCTCGTGTGAAGGTAATAATTTTAAAAATCATATTTACTGAGCAAAGCATTAACCTGCTTATATTTGCATAAATTTTGGTCTATTCTTTGAGATGGTCTCTATAAATTTAATTGAGTTTGTCAGCCCTTTCTATAACAGTAATGTTTATTTTGTATTATATTTAAAATATACCAATGTGCCAAAATCACGGAAGCTAGACTAGACTGTCCCCAAGGTCATAATTAAATCTATTAGATGAAATTCTCGGATTCAAGCCAGAGGTTTTATATTAAGCTCCGTGCACGAAATAGGCTGTGCATTTTTGGCCTGAAAAAGAATTATTGGGCACACTTTTATCTATTTTTACCATCCATTTCCGTTTTATTTGACAGAAATATTATGTGAAGGTGATCCAGTTATAGCCAATGGTACACTAGACGATGTCATCGAATCCAGACGAATTGGTGCAGAATACAGTTTTACATGCAATTCAGGATTCAAAGGAATGGGAAATGTAGTATGTAGTGGATGCGGGGAATGGGATGTTGGCGAGGTTGAATGTAAAGGTATGTGCTATGTGACGTTACTGGGAAATTTGCCGGGACAGACACACACAGAGTATTTTAAGTATTATTAATCCTTTTTTTTAAATTAGCATTAATCCTGAATTCCCTTCTTCTTTATTGTATTTTCAGAATGCGTTGCCCGGACTGACTCTATTTTACAAATTGCTGCCTTTCGTGCATCTGCATCAAACGATTCAGAATGTACGCAAAAATGTAACGAAATACCAGTTTGTAACCTTTCTTTTTTTGTTGAATCAACTTGTTACGTTTATCAATCTCCAATCTTCGCTGCCTCCAGTCAACCAAGCCTCGAAGGTTGTATTGATGTCTGTAACGCCAATGATGAATGTCAAGTTTTACAGTACTTACCAGTTACCACTACAGGAATTTGTATCCTGTTAAATGAAGCTCTTAGTACACAACTAATAATTCCCAATGTAAATAGTACAATACTGGAAAAAAACTGTCAATTGTAAAAATTGCCCTTATTGAATAAAACAATGTCTATGATGTTTTCCATTGTATAATGTCCCCTCCCTTAGTTCTCAACATCCAGGATCCTGACTTTATAATATATCTGGAGCTATAGAATGTTCTAGAATACTTCATAGTGCGTGTGGTATTATGGTTTTGTTAGATATATGAAAATAAAAGGGATTTTATCCAAATATGTTTTTCTCAACTTTTTTTTATATGTATCAGAAACTTAGATAGCATCGATTTGCATCCTTCCAATGTTTAGTCAAACGTCTGTGGTTCCTGCCAATCCACTATTGCATAGCCAATCTGGTACAAGTAGGGAACGGTAACACACACAGTTTCCTACGGTCTGAGAAAAATGGCATTGTGACAAGTACAATCTGGTAGAAGTAGGGAACGGTAACACACATAGTTTCCTACGGTCTGAGAAAAATGGCATTGTGACAAGTACAATCTGGTAGAGAGAGGGAACGGTAACACACAGTTTCCTACGGTCTGAGAAAAATGGCATTGTGACAAGTACAATCTGGTAGAAGTAGGGAACGGTAACACACACAGTTTCCTACGGTCTGAGAAAAATGGCATTGTGACAAGTACAATCTGGTAGAAGTAGGGAACGGTAACACACATAGTTTCCTACGGTCTGAGAAAAATGGCATTGTGACAAGTACAATCTGGTAGAGAGAGGGAACGGTAACACACAGTTTCCTACGGTCTGAGAAAAATGGCATTGTGACAAGTACAATCTGGTAGAGGTAGGGAACGGTAACACACAGTTTCCTACGGTCTGAGAAAAATGGCATTGTGACAAGTACAATCTGGTAGAGGTAGGGAACGGTAACACACAGTTTCCTACGGTCTGAGAAAAATTGGCATTGTGACAAGTACAATCTGGTAGAGGTAGGGAACGGTAACACACACAGTTTCCTACGGTCTGAGAAAAATGGCATTGTGACAAGTACAATCTGGTAGAAGTAGAGAACGGTAACACACATAGTTTCCTACGGTCTGAGAAAAATGGCATCGTGACAAGTACAATCTGGTAGAAACACTTTCCTGTAGTCAGATAAATTGGCATTAATAAGAAATCTGGTTTTGTATATTGGGAATTTCAAATACGAAATTGAACTTTCCTGTAGATATTTTTCTACAGGAATTGTAAATATTAATTGAATTATATGTATGAAAGTATGGATTGAAAAGAAAACTTATATTATTTCTGTACTAGATCTGCACCCGTGTCAATTTGCCAGCAAAGAAACAGGGACAAAGATTATATATGTTTTAATCAAAGGACAAAAATTAAAAATATCCTGTTTTTTTTATTTCGAATCATCCCATCATCAATGTCATTCCATAAATTTAGTACAACCACTGTCGACTATATTGGCCGGTCAAGGATATTTGTAGATAGTCTACATCTCACGTCAACACGTCGAAAAAGATGCGTCGTTTATAGCTGAACGAACCGGAAGCACGTGTTGAATTATTTGTAAACAAATTAAATTTATGATTAACACGTTAGTCCAGGATGATTTCTCCTTGTTAATGCGTTTCCTTATTACACTTATTTTAATATTTATCTTACTTAATGTTGGATCAAGGACAGACAATTGGATGTTTATTATTTGCATGTATTTATTTTGTGAGGGGGAGGGGGCGATAATTGTTCTCAAGTAAATTCTGTACGATTATTTTGTACATAGCTTTACATAGGAAAGATAGTTGCATTGATCCATTCACTCTCAGTGTCTCGGATATCAAATGTTGATAAAATTGTCAGATCTGCATCATGATAAACTTACAGATATCAGGCTCTGTGTCTGTGGTCATGCATGGTTTCGAAATTTTAGTTGGCAGAGTATTTGTATCAATGGCAGAATGTTCTAAAAGTAATGTCTTTGAATGGCATTTAGCAATTATGAGTACAATATATAGACACAGCTCTATGGAACAACAATCACTGGTTAAAGTTTTATGCAACACGTTGTCCTGTGCCTGCGTCGAAACGTTGAATAAAACTTTATCCAATGATTGTTGTTCCATAAAGCTATGTCTATATATCGTACTCACAATTGCTAAATGCCATTCAAAGACTTTACTTTGTCTTTGTCTATGTATCGTTCTAAAGTAAATTATCAGAGTCCCAAATAGGTACGGGTAGTTTGTGGATTATTTTAGAAACAATTATTTAAGAAACAACACAAGGTTCAGGGTAAAAAAAAGGATTAATAATAAACAAAATGTTCTCAATTTTACACTTACAGTGATTTTATAAAATGCCACGTAAAAAGATAGATAATAGAATCAGGGTATTGATAGAAAATGGAATGGTTAACAAACATAGAAGTATGATAGTTGTTGTAGGTGATCATGGAAAAGATCAGGTAAAAGTTTGATCCCCAATTTCAAAATAAGAACATTGTATCAAATTATCAGTATGACAAAATTTGTAAATATGCTGTATGCCGTATTGTGTCAAAAAACCGATTTGAAACACTTATCAGAAGGAAAATCAATTAAAAGATTATTTTAACTGAAAAAAGCAATCATGGAAAAAAATGGTTTTTTTTTCTCTCTCTTTGAAACAGATTTGTACATTTTCGAATTTTATAATCATTTAGAATATTACAGACCCTTGAATGCCATTTTGAATATTACATATATCAGATCTATCTGGGATGGCTAATTAAAATTATTTTTGAAATATTTATTTGTTATTGGATGAAATTATTAAACTGTATGTTTTTTAGGTTGTCATTTTACATCATATGCTATCTAAAGCAGCAGTCAAAGCCAGGCCCTCAGTTTTATGGTGTTATAAAAAAGAGTTGGGGTTTAGTAGGTAAGTATAGTTTTTGAGTTTGACAATGACAGTAAATTGGTAACGTTGAGAAAAGCATACCCCTTGACTCTAGTATTAAGGTATGGTACTATGTTTGGCCCAGGGACATTGTAGAATATGTTGTAATGCCTTTATGAACTCATTAATGGTCCAGGAACGAAGAGTTATAAGAAATGAGTCCAACTAGACTTTACCACATATTCTATGAGGTCACTGTACCCCACACAGTACCATGATTCAGTCAATGGATATGCTTACCCTTTCTGCGTACAAGTCTGTAATGATATTATTGATGCAAATGTGTAGGAGATTTGATACTACAAGTGAAAATAATGACTGTATATTGTGGCAAAGTTGGATAAAAATACTTTTTTTTTCTTAATTGTTTTTTAGTAATAGAAAGAAAAGAATGAAACAGCTTCAAAAGAAAATAAAGAGTGGTAAATTGGATGTACAAGAAGATGATCCTTTTGAGCTATTTGTAGCTGCTACACAGATACGATATTGTTATTATACAGAAACACATAAAATATTGGGTAATACTTATGGCATGTGTGTTTTACAGGTAATTTACATTAAAGAATCTGTAACAAATTGTCCATCTTCAATGGATGCAGTTATTCAATATTCCAACCCACAAATCTAAGAAATGAGTCTATGAAAACTTGCAACAAAATTACCACACCTATAAATAAAGGTTGTTTTGAGTTTTTTTATAGGTGTAGATAATTAATGGTACAATTTTGTGATTAATAGATAACACACATGATATTTTTTTTTTGTAAATAAAGGTAAATGTGTAACAAATGCTCACTCCTTTCAGTATTTTTGTGAATATTCTTTTCATTGCAAATATGTACATTTTTGTTTACAGGATTTTGAAGCACTAACACCTAATTTATTAGCTAGAACTATAGAGACAGTTGAAGGTGGTGGGTTAATAGTTCTACTGTTACGTACAATGACATCATTAAAACAACTCTATACAATGTCTATGGTAAGGATACTGATAAGCCTTATATTATAAATCTGGGAAGTCGGGTGGTATACAAAAATACTGTGCATTATATGTTCCCATGATTATTTGTATTGTTTGAGATGTGCCTCTTTTAGAGGTACCAAAATATCCCAATATTGTAATATGTTAGTATCTGAATTATAGCTTTTCTTGAACCAGTATTAACATAGATTTAGAAATGAAATTTGACATCCTACTATTTTAATGTACGGTGAGGACAACGGTATATGAAACGTTATTTTTTCTATTGTCAAGGGAACTTGAAGTACATAGTCTGTAACATAGGCGCATTTGTAATGTCAAAAACAACTATCTTATAATGTCTGATATACAGTTCATTTTGAAACTGATCTGTTGAATGAAAATTATTTTTCTAGGATGTACATTCAAGATACAGAACTGAATCTCATAGTGATGTTGTTGGTAGATTTAATGAAAGGTATGTATTATTTTAGTCAAATCTGACTTTTTTTCTACTATATGTCACTCATGATATTTCATTCATTGGGAAGAGAACACATATTTTCGAATATTAAACTGAATATTAACATTAATGATAACAATTGTGTTTTTGCTTCAATTTTAGATTTTTGCTGTCATTGGCATCGTGTCAATCTTGTATGGTTATGGATGATCAGTTTAATATATTACCATTATCTACTTTAACATTGAATATAGAGGCTATTCCACCCAAATCAGCTGTAAGTTTCTACCAATATTTCTTCTCTTTGACCGTAGTATTGTCATCAGTAAAGCTAACATTTTCACCAATTTAAAAAGAGTATGCATAATCTTCAAAATAAATAGGTTAAACCTCTTTCTTCTTTATCCTTTGATATTTGATAAAGTTTTTTTTTATTAAAATCATAATAACATAATTGGATATATTTACAACCATTAAAAGTGTGTTTCAAACTATGTGTTCAAAGCAAACAAGAGATTTCTGGATTTCTTTTAGAACTTCTTTTGGACATGCATCTAATTTGATAATCAATGGTTTATTCAAGATAAAATACAATTGGTCAGTTTATTTACATTGTTAAAACATTTTTAGTTGCCCACGTTCATGTTGATAACAATTCCACCTTGTATTTACAGGATGATCCATTAAGTCCTCAAGAAATAGAACTAAAAGAATTACAGGAATCATTACAAGATACACAACCTGTCGGTGCTTTAGCTAATTGTTGTAAAACATTAGATCAGGTAAAACATGTTTCAGATACAAAATCATTATCAAAATAGCTGGTTTGAATTTGTTCAATACTCAGAATACAAGCAAAGCTGTGAGCTAGTTTATGTTTGAAACATCAACAGTTGGAAATCAGAAAGTTGTGACCAAATTGATTTCTTGAAAAACATTTACATCTTGGCATTTTGAAAATCAAATTGAATTGAATTTTATATAGGCTAAAGCGGTATTAAAGTTTGTAGAAGCTATATCTGAGAAGACATTGAGATCAACTGTAGTTATGACTGCTGCTAGAGGAAGAGGGAAATCTGCTGCTTTAGGTATAGCTATAGCTACTGCTGTAGGATTTGGGTAAGCTTTTTGTTCTGTAATCTGAAAGGAACAGCTTGATTCAGTAGGTTATGTTGTCAAATTTTTGAATGCTTTTGATCAAAATCTCAAAAAATGAGGCTTCTTCGTCATCTGAAAACTAAAATATCTTGACATTATATTTTATAACACCTTTTATTTAAAAGGTTTACACCAAAACTGCAATAGTTGTATAGTAATATTTCATTGTAGGTATTCCAATATATTTGTAACGGCACCAAGTCCTGAGAATTTAAAGACATTATTTGAGTTTATATTTAAAGGTTTTGATGCTCTAGAATATCAGGTTAGTAATTGTTACCTATGATATTTAAAATCTTGTGACAATGAATTGTGGATCAGATGGATTCATTAATTTGGAGTAATTAAAATGTAGGTGCCCTCACACTATAGTGATTACCAGTTAAGTATTGTTGCATATAATAATAGCAGTCATAAGTTTCGAAAGCAACTCTCATGCAACTGAGTTGAGTGTTACATTGAGAGAAACTCATGGCTACTTTCATTATTTGCAACCATACGCAACTAGTAATCACTATGGTGTGAGGGCACCTTTAGGTAAATTTGGGTTAGAAATTGGACAAGACTTGTGACTGAAATGATACATATTAAATAGAGTTCTATTAAAGAAGCACAAGATATATGGATATACTATTTCTGATATTTATTAACTCAACGTTTCACATGCTCATACAGGCAGCGTTATCAAGAGAAGTGAGTTCTATTATTTAGTAAATGTCTATTTGTAGGAACATATGGACTATGAAATAGTACAATCAACTAATCCTGATTATAACCAAGCTGTAGTTAGAGTCAATATATTTCGTGAACATAGACAGACAATACAGGTACATAATTATAATCATTTTATAATTGGGTGAAGTTAGTTTTGATACTGCTACTACTAAATAGTAGGTCTTTATCAAGTACATTTGGATTTCTCAGTCAGTTTATTTTCAACCTCAATTAACTTAAATTTCTAAGATAAACTTCAAGACCTATATCATTACAGTTGGGAAAAAAAGCTACAATTCAGTTATTTTCCCATAACTGCTTTGATACAGCTCTACAGTTAAGATGGACCCAAAAAGTAGGATGTAAAACTCCATTCCATTTGTTTTCATAATTTCTGTTTGATCTTTCACCCAACCTTTATTTCAGTATATTCATCCATCTGATGCTCATAAACTAGGTCAAGCTGAATTAGTATGTATAGATGAAGCAGCTGCTATACCTTTACCATTAGTGAAAAATCTACTAGGACCTTACTTAGTTTTTATGTCTTCTACTGTCAATGGGTAGGTTATCTGTTATATACAATTGGCTACCAGTGTCACATGCAAACAGAATAAGAATGTTGGTAAGGTCTATTTGCTGGTAAAGCTCAAAATAATAATTTGACTGTAATATTCTTCTTATTGTTCATTACTTAGATAAGCAGTTTTACATATTCATAGGGAAATTGGGCAATATTTTTGTTTCATGAGCATATTGAAGCACTAGCATGGACCATATTGAAGATGAAAATGAAAATATGTGGTACAAAGATTCATTAAGTATGATTTTCTTGACATCTTCAATATGGTCAATTGCAAGCAAACTGATATCCAAAAATAATTAATATATATATTTAAGGTATGAAGGTACTGGTAGATCATTATCATTAAAACTAGTACAACAATTACGACAACAATCAGCTACGTATGGTGGTAGTAATAAAGAAATACAGAAAGCAGCCAATATGGCGAGTGGTAATAAATTAGATAATGGACCCTCTACATCAGGTATGTCTATGTTTTCAATAACTTATATAGTAGGGTGACTTTGTGAACAAGTGCAAACATCTTCAAGATAAAAGACCTTATGTTATTTGGATGTGAGTTCTTAATTTTGCATGTGGCATAGTCTTGACACATTAAGATTTCTGTACAAGGAGGCTAATGTTGCTGTTGAAGCACACTTTTCTGTATTACACACGGAATACTGTTGCCCATTTACATTATCTCAATTAGGTGCAGAAAAGTGGGATGTTAAACTACTTTGTTTCATTATGTGTGATTTTTTTCCAGGGCGTATACTTCATGAGATAGTTCTCACAGAATCTATAAGATATGCTAATAATGATCCTGTAGAAGACTGGTTATATAAATTATTATGTTTAGATGCTACAAGTGTACCTAGAATTATTACTGGCTGTCCATTACCAGAACAATGTGATCTATATTATGTTAACAGAGATACATTATTTGCTTATCACAAAGCTTCGGAATCTTTCTTACAACGTTTAATGTCATTGTATGTCTCCTCACATTATAAGGTAATGTCTAATGATACTTAATATTAGTTATGTGGACTCTCTGCAGAGTGGAAGCAAATGTTTCAGAGCATGTCCTACCCAGTCAAATCATTATTAAAGTTAACATCTTGTTATTTTATAAGATCTTGCATATCCAGATTTCAAAACTCTGAAATATCAGTGCCAAGAACCAGCTGGTAGAAAGGTTCATTTGTGAACCTAAGTTGTTATCCTTGTAATATACAGTTGTTACTTTTCTTGATTATAGAAATGTTGTAATATTATAGTGTGATATATTTGTTTTCAGAACACACCTAATGATCTACAGTTATTATCAGATGCTCCAGCTCATCATATATTTGTATTATTAGGACCAGTTAGTCCTACACAGAATTCATTACCAGATATACTCTGTGTTTTACAGGTATTATCTTATATCTGTTATATATTATGAGGAGAAAACTGATTCCTGGTATATTGTATCATGTACCTAGAAACTCTTGAATACATTTTGGCAAATAAAATGAATATGCGAATCTTATTCTCTTATAAACCTTGCTTATCATGCATTGGCCAAGAGAAAAATAGATGTATGATAAAGATTGCAGAAGTTTGATTGGTTTTTATTCCCATTGGTTGTCATTATTTGATATACCTAATCTGCGAGTAATTCTACTCAGAATTTAAATACTCAAGTTAGTTGAATTTGAAGTTAAATTAAAGTATATTTTGTATTGATAACTAGGTATGTTTAGAAGGTAATATATCTAAGAAAACAGTTATAAATAGTTTATCTCGAGGTAGATCAGCATCTGGTGATTTGATACCCTGGACAGTTTCACAACAGGTAAATATATTTTTTGATTCTGTTATATTGTCATGTTATATTCTCAACAGGCACGAAATAACTTTTGTCAAAAACTTGAAATAATTAGTGTGCTAAACCATCCTAAATGTAAATATTTTTATGTTATGTTCTACTATTCAGTTCCAAGACCATGATTTTCCATTGTTATCTGGTGCCAGAATTGTCAGAATAGCTACACATCCTGATTATCAATCGGTAAGTTTGTTAACTAAGCCTTTTAAAAATATTCATAAATCCACAGCCAGTGGTTCAGTAAACTAGCCTTTCGTTGTCTGAATCCAAAGTCTATCCAGATATGACCCCTTTCAGATATACGAAATATTTGAATTTACTTTTGTGCTATTTATTATTTTCTACATGGTATATGTATTTATATAGTTTGGTTATGGAAGTCGTGCTATTAAAGTTCTTCAAGAATATTATGAAGGTAAAATACCCAGTTTAAAAGAGGATAATGATGATAATGAAACACAGAAGTTACCTACTGTGGACAATGAGGTAATTTATTAGATATAGTTCTTTAAATGTTAACATTACTTGCTGATAAAGTTGAAATTTGGGCAGTTACAAATGATAATATACTTTTTATATGTCACCGATTCTGTATGTACATAGTAGATGAATATTTTGTTGAATTGTAGGAGAACTGGATGTCAAATTTATTCTGAAAATCGCTACTGATATCTGAAATTGAATTTTTATCAGCTGGCATAGTAAATATTGAGACTATCATATTCCTGCAAAGTTTTCTTAACTCATAATTTGTAAAGAATAGTTGTTATGTTAGTGACTGTAGTCAGTTCCAATTTCAAATGCACAATGTTTCAGTGTTAATTAAGCAGTGAAATGGCAACTGTTTGCTGATCAACACATTTTTAACATGCAATAATTCAGTGATATTGAGAGCCAATCCCTTCCTCCAAACTATCAAAGTCATCATTATAAAAAATGTATTTTAACTATGTTTAGGAATTTGATATATTACAAGAAAGTCTAGCACCAAGAAAAAATTTACCACCATTATTATTAAAGTTAAATGAAAGACAAGCTGAGAAATTAGATTATCTTGGTGTGTCTTATGGTTTAACTTCCAATTTACTCAAGTAAGTTTAAATATTTCAGATGATACTGTAGAACTTTCAGTATTATGAGAATTAGGAACTTTTTCAAAGTTTTGTTATGACGGCAATTTTTGTTTTGTTCAAGAGGACCTTTATATAATATCTAATACTGGTCATTATAAAATCAATGTTTTAATGTCTATTATATTTTAGATTTTGGAAGAAATGTGGTTTTGCTCCTGTATATTTAAGACAAACACCAGTAAGTATATGTTATTAATTATTTTATCAAGATATTAACCTCAACGAAAGAGTCCAGTCATACACACCGATTTTGAGAAATACTGTTTGATTTTAGAGTAGAAAAACACATTTAGAGCCATTGTAGAAATATTGTCAAAGTATAATATGAGTCTGCCTATTTTATACTATGTATTCTCATGACTGAATTGTCATCATAATATCATACATTTTCTAATTACAGAATGAACTAACTGGTGAACATTCTTGTATTATGTTAAAAAACTTGTCATCAGATCTTACTTCTACTGATAATGATTGGTTACATGATTATTGGAAAGGTAATATTTGTCTTCTAATAATAGATATACCATTAGTCAACTCATTGTTTGGAATTGATACATGGACTTCCAATTTCCATTTTGTGTCAATGTTATCTTTACTTTGTCCCATATAGACAATAAACATATATATATAGATTGGATCAGATGCCCAATTTTAATAAGACTGTCTTTACTAGGTCTTGAAATCACCTTCTTAATCATTGTGCCAAGTTACCATAACTGCTGGGAGTCCATCATGCACTTATTTATTTCAGATTTCAGAAAAAGAATGGTATCACTCCTGTCCTACCAGTTTCGAAATTTTAAACCAGCAATGGCATTAAATATATTATCACAGAAACAGTACAAACATAAAGATCAAAGTAAGAATAAAATACCCTTATGCTAATAATATAACTCTGTGACTGGTTGGTTGTAGTGTCTTAACAGAAATGTCTTGAGTCGCTAACATGCCAGGAGAAATTTCTTATACTAGAGCTTGTGCTTTGAGGTATAATCCCAAAATATTTCTGAAACAGTTAGTAGTTGTTCAAATAACATTAAGAAATAATCCAGTGTACTTGAAACTTGACAAATAAAATTTTGTGTATTTATTTTAGTAAATTTGACCAGAAAAGAATTGGAATCCAATATGACAAGTTATGATTTAAAACGTCTAGAACTATACTCACAGAATATGGTAGATTATCATTTAATAATAGATTTATTACCATGTGTTAGTAGATTATATTTCTTAGGATTAATACCAGTTTCATTATCAGCAGTACAACAGGTAAGAGTTGTTTTTTAGGTCTGTGCTCAGTCAGTTCTTCTAAATTTTGAACATATTTCTTTTTTTAGCTATAGAATTGACCTAAATGAATACCTACACCATAATTGTGCTTAATCTGAAGTAAAATTTGACTATTTTGGTTAGTCAAGATCTTTCTTTTAGTGGCATTTTGTAATGGACTATAATATTGACAAGACATTATGGTGATGCCATTAATTTGATAAAGACGTCACATATTAAACAAAGCAGTTATTTTTATCTGTAAAGAGTGTTGTGTTTAGTCAAGATATGATTATTAATAGCATAATTTTGATGTGTTTGTCAGGCACTGTTATTGGGATTAGGTTTACAACATAAAACAATAGAAGATTTAGAGAAGGAAATAGAATTACCAGTCAGTCAGCTATTAGCATTGTTTATTAGAATTATGAAGAAAATTGTTCAGGTATATTTATGTTTGAGTTAAAATCCTAAAATGGTGCCCTTTGTGAAAGCATCAATTTAGATTGCTTTTTATATTACTTCAGTTTTCAGTACTGGCAAGTAAGAAAGAAATTTTTAATTTGGTCTGACAAATTGACAAACCACGAATGGCTGAGAGTGGAGACTAACTTATAACTTTTACTCTCAAATCCTTAAGGAAATGAAGAACATTCTATAGTGTGTGGTAGGTGTGTTTTATGTGAAGTCTAATAAAAACAATTGTGTAGACAAAACTTTGAAGCCCCATCATAAAAACCAACTATGGTGTGACACTGTGTGCATGAAAGAAGTGTTCAGGTTAAATGGATGTTTATTACCATGAACTATTAAATCTATTTCAGTATTTCAATGAGATATTAGAACAAGATATTGCTAAAGACATGATAACAGAATCAGATGTTAAAATGAATCCAGTAAAACAATCCTTAGCTGAAGATTTGGTAAGTAAATTTGTTTTGAAATTGTCTTCTGTTGACTCTTTATTAGAGGTGAAAAAAGTCTGTACTTGACCTCCAACAAAGAAGAGTGAACTCTCTTGTCTTGGAAACTAATTTAGCCATTCAGATTCAGGAGTAAAGTCTATTGAGGAAAAGTAGGTTTTCACCTGTACTGATGTGTTTTATTCTATTTTTTGTAGAATGAAGGAGCTGATATTGTGATGGAGAAAGAAAAACAGAATATTGAGTCATTAATTAAAAATGGTCTGGAGGATTATGCTATTAAAGGATCAGAAAAGGAATGGCAAGAAGCTTTAGAAGATGGTGGTGAGAAAAGTAGATTAAGTATCAAAAGGTTAGCATTATCATTTTTTGCTTATTTTCTTATAAATGACTGCAAAGAAAAAATTGATTCTTTGACACCATGCTGAATTGGAATATGGTGATTTATACACATTGGAAATACAGAATTGTCAAATGTGCTCTATTCTTGTAGATCATTTTCAGACTGAGTGTAAAATATTGTTACATTACACGACATACATAGTGTTTCGCATTAGGAAACACAATTTCCAACATACTCTTTCAAATTACAAAACTTCCCATTCGCGATAACAGCATATGTTTTTCGAGAGCAAATTTTGATCACTAAATATTTGTTTTACAGTGCCTTGAAGAGGAAACATAAATTTAAAGACTCAATAAAACCAGTCAATAATCCACAGAAGAAGAAAAAGTTGAAAAATAAACATAAAAAGAAATAAATGTTGTCAAAAAATATCTATGTTTAAGATTAAAATGGTATAAAATAATTTTAATATTATTTAGTTTTAACAGATGTTATTTGATTGCCATATCCAAAAGGCTTGTTGTACCTTGATTCATTCCTCAAGCGCCATCCCAGTGGACAATTAGCAAACTGTTACATAGAATTTTGCTCTTTTCATATCAATGGGTAGCTGAAGACAAAGCTTTTCCAACCATCCTATTGTTTTCATAGTGCACATCTATTTGAAACAAACCCTTCATCTACAGTGTGATTACTTGAAATGGAAACCGGCCTTAAAAAAAGTCAATTACCCTTAAATTACCTTAATTTAAGACATACTCATAGATAAGAATGAAATAACAAAGCTAACTGTGTCGAATATGGTGTTTAATTGTGACACAAGATAAAATGGTCCAATACAACTCCAAATACAACATCACATTATGCAGCACTAAAAATAAACATTTCACTGTATTATACTTCATAGGGTTGACTTGTTGAAGGTCTGTTTAAACTTGAAATATACTGCAGTAATAACTTGGCAATGTTTTTTATAAAATAGCCTACCTTGATAATGAGTTATTTATCCAAATTATTAACATTAAAACATTATAAAACCTATACAGTCCTATAGTGTACACAGGCCTATTAAATAACTGGAACTTATTCTTTTACAAATAGAATACAATAGAATTTAGAGAAAAATCTACAAAGGTAAGAAATTGTCTTTGAAAGAAGTTACTGTAGTGATTGTTTGTGTGAACATCTCAACTTACACATAATTGCGTTCATGACCTTTACTTAAGGTGACCTGACACCATAGCAATTACCAGTTGCATATGGTTGCTAATAATGAGTTTCGAATGTATCTCACTGCTCAGTTGTTTAAAAGTTGTGTAGGAATTTTATGATTGCTATTCTTATTTGCAACTGGTGATTACTATGGTGTGAGGGCCGTTTTAGATATTGTGTAAAACATCTAACAAAATATGCATTTTATATGCCTTATGTGAATATAACTTAATTAGGTGCTAATTTCAGAAATCATGAGACTAGAACAAAAATATGGAAAACAGAAAATTTCAGTACCTAATAATCATTTATCAAAATCTATGATTAAATATTTTTCAAAATAAAAAATGTTCATGATATTTAGAAAGTTGATGTCTAGATTTTGAAGTCACTTGAAATAAAAATCTACACCTAATATTCTAAAAATATTTTCCAAAATTTTGTTATATAATAAAAATCTACTTTGAAAAATTTTAAAAATGAATTTCATTAAATGGAGATTTAAAGAAAATTTTCAATAATATAATAAATAGGTCTACTATAAATCTACTATAAATCTACTGTAACTGTGATACCAGTACCACCAATCTTATAAACATAAATGTTGATGATTTTAGATAGAGCCCAGCTCTGTATTAATCTATGACTTAAAAAAACAAAAAAAAAAATCTTTTAAATTTCATAAATTGTTTTTTTTGCTGAATTATATTTTAAGTTAATTTTTTAAACAAACTCATTATTTGTGTCTTATTTGTATTTCTGTATTTTACAAGTTAGCTTAATAATAAAAATTTATTTAAATAATCTATTTTGTTGCTTAATCCCTAATTATTTAGTTATATTACAAAATGTTTTAACACATTAGATAATTATCATTCCTGTTCACATCTTATCCATAGATAGAGATTGCTAAACTTGATGTATGGACATCTGTTATACACTTAAAGGGATTGTAAAAAGGTTTTCTAATTTTTTTCATGTATTTCTGGGACACTAATAGAATCAATTTGCACCATTCCAATTTACAATCAGCTGATGACATCACTTATCACAAAATATGCTTTATCACAAAAGGCCCTTCCTGATTAGTGACATCATCAAACAGTTAGTTTAAGTGGAATCGCAGGAACCAGACACATCTAATTTCATCCATTGGTGGAAGTTTCAATACCATTGTTTCAAATTTCCTTTAAAGACTACATAAAGTAAAGTAAAGCCTACTTTTTGATTTGTACAATAGGCATTATCACATGACAATAAAGAATTGGCTAAAAAATAGAGTGAAAATTTATAACATGAAGATATTAAATATAACAAGACTTGGACTTAGTATAAAGCTAACAACAATCAAATTAACAACATTATTTCATTTATAATATAATTTCTTTCTTTCTGCTATAAGGTAAATCCTTTATACATTATATATTTATACAGTAGAAGAAGCTGATAAAACTGAAGAAATGAATTTTTTTTTTTTTTCATTGCATTGCCCATTTTCATCGGCCTGTTTTAATTTGAAAGACAAGAGAGTGAATTCAAATTTCATAAATCTATAGCTTAAACTTAGTTATGATGACAGTGTTAACAGTGTCAGTTGAAAATCACCTTCAAATTTCTCTTCTTCAGTTTTGAAACCCATCTACAGTAGAAATATATAATACATCATGACGATCATTATAATGAATGATTTTATATTTTGATAATGACATGATTGAAGTTTCTATAAATATTATAATTAATTAATTAATTCTGTACATCGTTAATGAAGGTTTAATTAGATAAGAACTGATATGTGATGAAACTAAATGAAACTTGTGGATATTTCTTATGAGAAAACAGAGTTGAAACATATTTGATAATTGAAAATATATAACAAAATAGCTTTTATACTTCTGGTTGAGAATTGCATGCTTTTCAAGTCCAAAACAAATGAGCAATCATTCAACGCCTATACTGTTAATGTTTTCAGTCATCAAACATATTACAAGTCTATTAAATGAATTCTTGTGAAAATAATTTTGGCAACCAAGATTTTGTATCAGATCTTAACAATATCAACAGAGAACACAACAAATTACTCACAAAAAATGTAATGAAACCAGCAACATAACAATGTTTAACATAGATAAAGTTCTTTTTTAAAAAATATCTCTCATTCCTTCATTTTATTCATTCTGCTCCACTAACTTTCTCTTTTCTTTCTGCTTAAAGCTCCCAGCACGATTTTTAGGTGGCAAGTTGTTAGCCGAAGAATGACGCATGCGATTTCCATTGAGATTTTTGTCTAAGTTGTGATTGTCTTTATCTGTTGGGGAATGCATGCTACTCACACTAAGACTCGACATGGAACTAGATAGGTTTAGATTGGATGAGATTCCAAGATTACTAGGATATGGATTGTGAATGTCAAGGTCATCACCAGGGAGACAGGATTCTACCATCATGGCCTTCTCCAAACAGTTGACAAATAACTGTGGTGTATCACTTCCACCAGCATTCTGTAAATAAATATTAACTTTATATTTTCAATGTGTTCATATTAAAACTAAATCAACAAATAAGAAAAATATTTTGTCCAGAAATAACAAATTATTTTATGGAAAGATAACCAATTTTAGGCTATCTGCAAAAAATAAAAATTGTTCCAGACCTTTGTGAATGTTCCAGCAAATCTCCATAACCCACCAAAACCAATACCTAAAGTGAAAGTAGAGGATATTAATTTCTTAAAATATTTCAGTCTGGTGCTGCTTTGTCTTAGAAACAATTCGATTAAGAAATAAAAATTTACATGAAAACAATTTGGCAAGTATGCAATAATTGAAATACATTTATGCTATCATACAGTCTACAAGAATGCAATAATGCATTACATGTAAAACTAACAATACATATTTAGATATTCAAGGTCTAATTGCTTCAGAAAAGCTAAAAGTAAAAGACAAGAACTCACTTTGTAAATAAGTAAGGGACTCTCTAGAATCTTCACAAGCTATCATATTTTGTATAATACTCTGTACAGCATTTAATATAGCTTGATCATGACTTAATGATAATACACTGTTTATTTTAGCATCTAATAAACTATGTCTGTAATACAAATCATGAACATAAATAATCTTTCTTCAATAACTGCTTGTAGGAAAGTAGGATATAGGTAATAGGTCTTGCTTTGTTTACAGAATTAAGTTTTTATGAACATTCTTTTTTTCTCTTTAAATTCATTGCATTCACTTATCAATTTAATAGTTAGATATACTTACATGACAGGAAAAACTTTAGGGAATACAACAGAAGCTTCAGCTAAATATTCATATAATATTCTAGTTTCATTTTCATCAGTCGTATTTCTTACTAATGTAGCCTAAAACACAAAATTGATCATCATAACATTCTGTTCAAATACCAGTAATTAATAAATAATATTTAACTAACTTTGACTCTTATCTCAATAACATAATAAATATATGAAATTTTATATTTCTCTTCTCCTGTTAAAGGTGCTGAAAGTACATGGTCTCTGAGAAGCATTTTGCCACAACAGGTCAGACTACTCTCTTGCAATGTTCAATGATCTCTAATTCATAGGACATATGTGCACTTGCCATACAAAGGATGGAATGCTTCTTCCAAGTCTTACAGGGTTAAAAATCCATGCTGTCTATAATACACCTAAATTAAAGTTATTAAACCTCAGATTAATTGTTAAGTAACTTTGACTCTATCCTAAATATCATGTACAAAAAAATTAAAGCCAGGTAACTTACCAAAACAGTTAAAACTAAAGCTTGTGTAGGATAATCATTTAAAATATCAGGATCTAATAAAACATTGTTTTCATTGGATACAGAACTACGTCCACTTCTTGGTTGAGGAATAACTTTGACTGAATCGATCTTCTTACTGCCTGGTGTAGGAACCGAACTACTCCGATGTTTAAATGGCGGTCGGGAATTTGGTTCCGAGTCTAGACTTCTCCACACTTTAGGACTACTTGCCTTTGAAAATATAAACTCATCATAAAGATTACATTTTTCAACAGGGAATTTTGAATAATTGTCATATTAACCATTAACATTGGTCCTTAAGTCAGATATATTACTAGTATCACATATAGCTGAATTCATTATGATGCCCTTAAAATCTCTTATCTCTTGAAGTATAAAATTTCAAGAATCATTCGTTGATAGCAAAGTTACATGTACCTGTATCTTTACAATGGAAAATTTATGAGATAAGTTGTGTATCAGAATATATGCATTCATTTTCATACTATTGAATGTAATTACCCCTTCAAAAATCAGACATTCTGACTAATATATCATAATAAACACGTAAGAATAGTAATGGATGGGAAATAACCAGGAAAAAGATATGTCAACAGATTGGGATGTAGGCCGAAACATCAGCCTCTATTCCAGGCCTGATAACTGTTTTGAAAGTTGAAGGCTGGTGTAGAGACAGAAAAACTAGGCCTTGTTTTATGGGAATTTTTCTGCATCTCCTAAGGTGTGAAGCTTTTACACCTTTTAATTTAATTCGGATCTGCTAGACCTAGATAAGATGGATATTTTTGTAGTTCAGTAATACCATCATAATCCCCCTACGGTCTACACCAATTATGTCACATCTAGGGTTCCATCAAAGTTTTTATAACAAAACTGATCTCCGTCGACTATTCAAAACTGCATGAATACGCAGCCAAAAGTTCAAATGTCACAGAGTCAGGGATATGAAAGTAACTATGACACCCAACACTAATTTACAGCCATTGTAAAAATTCCCATAAATAAAGAGGCCCAGTTATTTTGACTCTACTCCAGCTGTTAATTGTCAAATTATAATAGTGGCTGGAAAAGAGGTCGATTTTATGGACAAGTTGGGATGTAAATAATCCTCCAGGGAGGCAGCAAAAGATGAACATTAAAAGCAAGTTATATCAGCTGTTAATATCACAAGTAATTCAGCTGTTAATGTGGAAAAGACATAATGCAACAAGCCCATCAATATATAACAATATAGAATTAGGTTGATATATTAAAAGCATTAATAAAAAAGCAAGTGCTACAAACAGCCTAACAAAGACAATGACAAACAGGACTAGTTGGTATATTAGTTGGTTTGAGGCTTTTATTGTATTTAATCTGAAAATTAAAGATGTGCAATATATGACTGAGATTCTTTCAGCTAAGGTTCTACCTATATAATTAAAATAAAAATAGATGCAATCTCGTCAATTTGTAAAAAATAATTTTCTCTATCTAATATCATATATTTATATGTTCAATCGTGTATCATATTAGGAACTGTTCCGAACATTCTTTCGAGGAGTGGTTTTCAAATAAAATTTTCTGTTTCTAGAACAAGGGGAAAAGATAGCTTGCCAGGCAAGGTAACATACGCCCACTGGCAGCTGTCAGAAATGATTAAACAGTCTTTAGTGACTACAGGGTTGCACAATACAGCTAATACAGTGAAACGTCAAGTCAGACACGATATTTCGGTGAAAATTATCCGATCATCATGAAAATCGATAGATCATCATGAAAATCAATAGGGATCATCTTCATAACGACATTGACATACAAAATAAAAATCAAAAGAATCTGTAAACAATTGTAGCCTGTAGAGTGAGCATGAGTTGCACAATATAGCTAATAGAATAAAACGTCAAGACAGACACGATATTTTGGTGAAAAATTATCCGATCATCACGAAAATCAATAGGGATCATCTTCATAACATTGACATACAAAATAAAAATCAAAAGAATCCATAAAGAACTGAAGCCTGTAGAGTGAGCACAAGCCAAATGTGAACGGACGGACGGACGGACCGACGGGGTGATTACAATATACGCCCATCTTACGTGTGGGCGTATAAAAACCAATAAAAAAAACCAATAAAAATCATTTCGATAAATACAAACATTTCTTCACTGAGGAATTTTTGATACTAAATGTGAGTTTTTTTCATTTCTTTAAGGGTAAACAACAATTAACAGTGACATACCAAATGACATGTTGAAATGTCTGCATTAGTGTGGTGTAAACATGTGCTTTAACAAGTGCTGAATTTGCAATCAAGAATTATTAGCGTGAATATCGTTAATATTGTCTAATATAAAATAACTGTAAGACTGGTTCTTTATCAAGCATTTTAAAAATCTAAAACCAAACTTTGCTTGGTGGACAGATTGGGCAATATTTAAGAGGTATAAGGGGGGAAAGGATTAAGTGCAGGGAAGTGATAAAAGTGTAAGAAACACAGAGATAAGTTTAGAACATATTTCTAGTGCAGCTAGACAAAATTATTACACTAAGCCTTTGAATATAAAATATTATTATAGAATATATAAGTTGACTACTCTATAGGTTAAAATGTTAAATATTTAGATTATATAGCCCAAACCAACATAATACATTATAGATAAGATCTAATGTTAGATATGCAAGATTAAAATCAGTATTTCTGATCTAACAAAAAAACATTAAAAGATTAAATTTCTCATGTGTTTCTTGGACACTGAAAGCATCAATTAGCACCATTCCAATTTTACAAAAGAGAACCTCTTTACATTCCTTTTAAAATACCAAATTTCATTAGAAATGTATCCTGGATCTATAGGTAAAAAGGCATATTTTTGAAAATACACAACTATACTTTGTTGTGAAATACTGAACACTAGCATCTCCATCTAGATCTTATCTATATCTTACTAGTCCTACCTGACACTGATTCACTTGGCTTTTCTGTAATTTGGCTGCATTCATTGCACTTTGGTCTAAAAGATCACAACTTTTCTGTCGTCGTGGTGTGCCCGAGGGTGGTGGTAAGGTGGCAGTTGGTGGTGGGGTAACAGGAGAACTACCTTGATTCATGTTATTTACCTCTGCATTAAGACTGTCACTAGATGTGGATTCTGAGATCATGTAATTTGGTGTTCGATGTTTGAGGTGACATCGACTTCTAACTTCTTCCGAAACCGAAACTAGACCTGAAATACAGTGAAAATATTCATTATCACTCCCTTTTTATAAATAATAATAAATCTAGCCAACATATCCAACTGTAACATTATTGCACGATTTTTCTATTACTGATATTCTTCTTAATATAAAATGGTATGTTTAACAATAATATTTGTATCAAATTAATATATGTTTAACAGTAATAGTTTAAAGTGATATGTTTGATATTGATATTTAAATCAAGATTAAAGTGATACGTTTGACATTGATTATCCAAGGTGGTGGTATGTTTGACAATAATATTTCAACCAAGTTAAAAAGTATATTGTACTGTATGAAATATAACAACAAATTTATCTCTATTGGTAAATTACAAACCTGATATAAGGTACTATATGAATTGCAACGACAAATTAATCTCTATTGGTAAATTACAAACCTGATATAAGGTACTATATGAATTGCAACAACAAATTTATCTCTATTGGTAAATTACAAACCTGATATAAGGTACTATATGAATTGCAACAACAAATTTATCTCTATTGGTAAATTACAAACCTGATATAAGGTACTATATGAATTGCAACAACAAATTTATCTCTATTGGTAAATTACAAACCTGACATAAGGTACTATATGAATTGCAACAACAAATTAATCTCTATTGGTAAATTACAAACCTGATATAAGGTACTATATGAATTGCAACAACAAATTTATCTCTATTGGTAAATTACAAACCTGATATAAGGTACTATATGAATTGCAACAACAAATTTATCTCTATTGGTAAATTACAAACCTGATATAAGGTACTATATGAATTGCAACAACAAATTTATCTCTATTGGTAAATTACAAACCTGATATAAGGTACTATATGAATTGCAACAACAAATTAATCTCTATTGGTAAATTACAAACCTGATATAAGGTACTATATGAATTGCAACAACAAATTTATCTCTATTGGTAAATTACAAACCTGATATAAGGTACTATATGAATTGCAACAACAAATTTATCTCTATTGGTAAATTACAAACCTGCTAGATAAGGTACTGTATGAATTGTAACAACAAATTTATCTCTATTGGTATGTTTGACAGTAATATTTAAAAGCTGATGAAGAACACGTATTGTACGAGACACAGTTGTACCTGATGGATGACGAAACCCTAAAAAACAACCATTTTAAAGCCTTAATCAAAACATCTTAAATCAAACTATACATATAAACATGGTCCTTGAACTTATGTTTCATGAAGTGAATTTACATGAGTTGTAGTTTGATGTACCTAGTAGGGCATGCTCACTATTCTATAGCACACCAATCTATTATTTGAGTTAACTAACATAGTCCTCTTAAATAATATAGACAAACAGAGCCTCATGTGCCCTTCAAAGTTTGCAAACATGTATGTCTTATAATGCTATTATAATTTTTAAGTTTTATAACTTAAAAGACAAAATATGTTGATATATTCATTTTCAATACCTTTGAGTAGATGTCCAACCAAAGCAAAATTAAAGTAATTAGTAAAACTAAGTCCCATGTCATGATCTAACTGTTTAAAATGCCACTCTAATGGATCTCTTACACTCATAACACACTCTTCTAAACTCTGGAAAAATAACATTAAAAAATGCAAATTATAAATCGAGAAGATGAATAAATTTGAATAACAATCTTTAGCAAAGTAAATCCAAAAATAAAAAGAAGTAGGAAAAATCAAAAGAAAAAAAATATGATTCACACAAACTGAACTTCTGATCATAGTTTCTAGAACATTCATAGTTATGTTAAGATATTTCTGTTAGTAGTAAATAAAAACTATACAGAATAAACTTTCATGTTGATTACCACTTAAACTACCTTTGAATAAAATGAACTCTTCATGTATAATTATTGAATAAGACTGGGATGAGAGATCTGGCTTTCTGCACAAAAATACCAAGCTTGCTAAAACAAAATCAAAAGCAACTTCTTTGTATTTGATCATAACAAACCATAAATCTCAAGGGTTGATTGTTTCTATTTAGTGGTACCTACCTCATGTTCAAATAAACCTATATTATCCAATGTATGAAGATTTTGTTCTAATAATGATAAACCTGCTGCGTATAATGATACCTCATCTAACTGTAAAACTGATATAGCTACCCAGAATAAAAACTTGTGAATTGGTGATTCCTGAAAAAACATCATACTCTTCATTTGTAAATTATCTTATAAACTGGACAGCATTAAAAATGATATATTGTAGGTAGGAAGGTTAGCAGGTTAAAGAAAATACTGAAGTATGTAGAATTGTAACCGCAATCTAATTCATTGAAGCTTATCAAATGCCATGAGCATGTCCAATAAAAAATTCATCATCATAAAAGCTGACTTGGAAATAATGTTGAAGATTAACACAATTGGCCAAAATGGTTTTTTTTTATATAAAAATGTTTATTTGAGAATTGATTAATAACACACAAAAAAATGCATACATGAATATATATTCACATTTAAACTTTATATTTCCCACTCTACATATAAGCATTTTATTTTCAAAAAGGGCAGATATCATTTTCAAAAATATGATACAGTGGGCAAGTACTAATGGGTATCCAAATAGAAGATAAACAATGGTACTTACAGACCGTAAGAGAGGTTGTAGTCGAGTTAAACACATAACAACTGATTCTATTAATATTAAATCAGTATATGATTCTAAAGCTTTCATCATAATTTTTAATAACTGTTTAATTTCAGAATCTGTTACAGATTTACTAATACAACCTAATACAATAATAGCTCTTGGTTGTAAAGCTGGATTATACTGGAATGCAAATCTAAAAAAAAAACACAAAAAAAACTTTGCTCAACAAAAATGTATTAATATATTCCACATGATTATAATGATTTGAGATAACCTGAAAAGCACTCTGTGACTGGATTTGTCAACTCAGCATCCCTTGAAAATAGTCCACATGGATAACAGTGTTTATTTGGTAAACCATGGTAGAGTAATTCTGGTGGATGTTAACCAATATTTGGTAAAATTTAAAAGGCACTGGCTCATAGAAAAGATATATGCCTTGAGGGAGGATTTGAATCTATGAAAACTTAAAGCCAGCTCTTACAACACAAATCGTTTTCAACCAAATCTGTCAATAGTTGCCATTAAAAGAATGTCTTGAGCAAGTTCTTACCTTTTGGCCAAATCAGTCCACTGCTGGAGCCAATCACATTGTGGTATGTCCTTCATACAAGCCTAAACACAAAACAATGTTTTTTATTAACAACATTCAACATACATACAAAATAATCAACAAAATGTATGTAATTCTTGAACATTATCTTTAATCCTATGTTATTTTTTCAAAATCAAAGTACATTGTTAACATGAAAGATCTCAAAAACACTTGATAAGACGTTAATTCCAACATATTTGCTAAACAAATATTTGCCCTTGGACCGTGTTTGATCAACTAGCAAAGACAACCTAAGAAACTCATAAAATATATGATAGATGTTGAGGATTTTTGTCAGGATGAAATTTGTATTTAGGTACACTCACCTCCATTATCTCTAATAAAGCATCCGAGATAGCCTCCAGAGAACTCAGATGCATCTTTTCATTTTCTGGTGGTGCCATAGTAAAAGATCTGTCACCAGGACGATAACTTGTTCTGAAAGCACTCACAGCAGCTGATTTGACTTTACTGATACCAAATAACTGGTAAAATTTAGGTAAAGAGAACTCAGCTAAACTCAGTTTTAAAACTTGAAGTGTGCCCTCTAAAATACAGAACATTAGGAAGCATAAAGCATTTGCAATTTGAACCTCAAAGAACTAAATAGGCTGTTTTTTTTGTTTATATACTAAAAGTACTGAAATACAGGAGCTGATTTCTGCAAAACTTAAAACAAGAAAACCACACTTGTGTCAAGTTTCTTTATTTATATTGATTATGGAAAGCATCCCTCCAAACGATTTTTGACATTGGTTTAGTGTAAAGTCAACTATTGTATTTTTCATGAAGACAAGAGAGTAACAATTGAAATATACTAAGTCATCTTTTAAATGTAATTAGTAAATAGTAATTACCATTAAAGTGTAGAATAGCACAAGTACATAATGAATGTATCATATTGATGACTAGACCATGAGTTGAAGCACGTAATGATAATGGACCAGTAGATACTAATAATGTTACAATGTGGAATAAAAATGGTAAATGACTAGCCACTGGAAAACACAAACAAATTCACATTAAGCAATCAATTGGAGTAGTTTTAATCCACACATCTTTTTTTCCCCAAAAAATGATAAAGATGGTTCCATGGTGCATCCTAGATTTAAACTCTCACAAATTAATCAAGTCATTGGTAATTTCTTGTTCATCAGTTCAGAAATATCTTATGTTTTAAGAATAACTTTCTCTTCATGTCATAGGAAGCACCAAAAGTCTTCAGGCAAATAGACATATCCAAAGACTTTATTGAATTTGAGCTCCACTTAAATAAGTATTGTCACTAGGACATGCTTACATATGACGCCGATCTGCAATTGGGATTGTGAAATCAGCATCCCTTAGAGAGTCCACTTAGCTAATTCTGTTTATTAAATTATATCATCAAATACCATTTAAGTTTTGTATTAAGGTAATTTACATAAAATCAAAATGAAATGCCTTTAGCTGACTTACCATCAAGTGAATTATTAAATGATAACATAAGTAGATAACGGGCCAATATAGCAATATCATCCCACATTAAATGTTGTTCTAATGTATGAGTTGGTGATGTACATGTCTTGTCAATTAACTAGAACAAAACAAAACTTGTTTAGAACCTTTACTACACTACAATATTTAATTAGAAGATAACAGAGTTCAATATTGTATCAATTCAACTTGCAGTGACTAACTTAATTTAAGATAAAACAGATGGGCTTGAACCTGCCATATCAAACTTAAACAGCATTGTAGTTTCATACTGAAAAGAAGATTGGTGTGTAAAAGTAAATAGATCAACACTACTTACCCGACACAATCTACCAATTACTTTTCTTGATACCAGTAATACATTAGCTGAAGTTAGTGCTACTGCTGTATCAGCCATGATTTCAGCTTGTATTGATCCTAAACCTCCTGTAACACTTCTCTGTAAAATATATATATTGGATAAACATGAAGATCTCAATATGATAATATCTTGAATGATATAAGTACTTTTTTTTGATAATTGAATGGTTTTTACTGGCAAAATCCTCTCAGGGTAAATACTGACAGTTGTTGTGCCTAAAAAGGCTGTGAAAGTTGGATACTGTAGGGATTCTAGCAGGTATACTTATTCATATGGTAGAAACTCAGTTTCATGCATATTCATATAAATCAACTATTGGTTTTATAATAAAACTATTTCTATTTTAGTTATTGATTTTAAGACAGGTTTTTGGCAAATAATAAGTGTTGTATCAGTCTTTTATTACATATAGATATAATCCATATGATAATGAATTCATGTAAAGAATTGTTGGTTAACATTATTAGGTAATGTTATCACATGATATCATGATATATTTAAATATTTATAAAACATTACCTTTATAAAACTGTCTAAAACCATGTCTAATAGATCACCTATCTGACCAATATTACCCCATATCTTGGCTTGTATTGAAGGATACATCTACAACATAACAATTAAGAAATAAGACATTCATTGTTTTGTTTTTTCATTCCATGACTGTAAAGTGACCATAGATTATAAATATATTTAAAACCTTTAATATGAATCTGAAAAGTTTGACATTTTATTGTCAAGAAGTTAAATATTTATCTTACCTCATCTTCTTCAATGGTCATGGTAATTAATTTATCTAAAATCAAGGCTACTTTCTGTCGTTTATTCTCATCATTATGTTTACAGAACCTGAATTTAACAGTTAATGTTATTAAACAACTATAATTATTTTGTGGACAAGAGGTCATTCTTCGTATCAAGTTTAAGCTCTTGAGTCTGAACTCCACTAAAATCTACTATTTACACTACAAATACGCCTTAACTTGAAGAAGAAACAAGAATAACCATCAGAAATTGTACTATACATGATCAAAGTTTCTGCTTTGATCTGTGAATCAATTTCTAATATAAAACATGATTTACCTAGTTAAATTGGGTAACCATGGAGTTATATATTCTAAACATAAATGTTTCATCTCAATATTAGAATTACCAAAACCTTGAATACATTCTTCCAGAAACTCTAGTGTTAAATGTGGTTCTTTTTCAGCTAATTTGATACTGATAGATTTGATAAATATAGTGTTATTAGCAGGAATACACAGACCTGAAATATATCAATGGAAAAAAACATTTTAGCAAAATCTTGTGAAGTATTTTACACAAATGCTCACTATCTTTCAGAAATTTATAGACTTTCAATGAATGCTAATGGAAGTAATGCCAGGGATTTATCAATCTAAAATAATCTAAAACAAAAGAATATGAGAACAACAAATTCTTGGTATCAATCTGTGAACAGCAAGTAATAATAATAAAAATATTAGATGACCATTTACTGATGTGTCATCTTGCTAGAAATAAACAGTATATGTCATTTTGCAACAAAGAATATCACAATATATTAGCATTTTGAAGTCATGTTATAGAAATAAGATTTCAGTACACACCATTGGTCTCCAGGAGTTGTCCATCGATTTTTAAATCAAAAGTTTGAGTTAAAGCACAGAGAAGATTGTAAGCAGCCGATCTTAAACTGGGGTCTGAACTACCCAAATTTAACAATGCCTGGAAAAGAGGGCATTAAATGTTATTATATTCCAGATTAATAAAAGACATGTTTAAGGCAGTCCATATTCATTCATTGCTAGCTAAATATTTAAGTCGGTATACTATGGTTGCAATCTTCTGAATAAGGCAGTAATACTCTCCTTGATTAACCAATTCCTCTCTAAACCAGCAGCCTCTTAAAAGGGGTATTTAAGGGGTATTAAGATAGGCTGGGATGCAGCATTCATATTGTTAATTAGACTTAAAATGGGCAGTTGTTTGAAATAAAATATCCTTACCACATTAAGAAGTGTACCAGGTACATCTTTAGGTCGTATTTTAGTATGTACAGTAACTGTGTCAGGTTGTGATAGCTCCCATCTGGTTCTTATATGTATTATAGCTTGTACAATATTATCACAATCATTATGTATAAATGATAGAGGTCCACTCTCATTAGCTATAGTTAGAGTAAACTGATTATCATCTACAAGGCAAACCTACAAAATAACACAATTCAATAGGTAAGCTAAATTTATGAAGCTGTACAATGAAGGAAAAAGCCTTGAGTGTTTTGTGGTACCATGTGGGGACCAGAGAATATCCAGTAATGTTTTGAAGGACTCATTAATGGTTCAGCTATGTATAAGGACATAAAGTTATGCCAAGTTTTGCTGTTGTCATATATCACACTGTATATCAAGTCTTAATAGCAGCTAGAGCTAAATTTGTCAGGATTGTGAGCAGAAACAAATCCCCCAATTTACTATTCAATTAGCAAGCAAAAGAAAAATCTTCAACTTACCTCTTCTATTTCAGCAGCATAATATACATCATTTAATAATACATTGTGATTTAAAACACGACTTTTCTCTGAAGATGTTACTTGGATAGCATTTGGACCAACCTACAAAACATAAAATAGCAATAGATTTTTCTATCAACACAAAGGATAAGTAATGAAAAAGATGAGAATCTCCAATTATGCAAACATCTCTGAGTCATCAAGCAAGTTACAATTAGTAGTCATTTGATAAAAATACCTTCAAAACAATCTTATTATTTCTTTCAACAAAACAATGTCATCCATTTTGAACCAACCTTGATAGCTACTTTGGTGTCTTTATGTGATAATTTTAAAGCATTGTTAAAGACTCTCAGATCTTCTTCCAGAGCTACTGTAGGTCCTGGAAGCTTCTGATGATCAACATCAACATATTCCTGTAGTTTAGCTGGGTGATCAATAAATATCAACTTTCGATTATTCTGAAATAAAACAGACATGACTGCAATCTACACCTATGTTTTTGACATTTTGTGCTGAAAACCATGAAGATATTATCTGTAAGGATGGGCAAGATAATGATATGATCTTATCTAGAACTGAAATATCATCATACCATAATTAATTTATGGATAGGGACATTGAAATGTATGTGTATGGTATGATTTGTCAAGATATAAGCTGTGTTTGATAAATGGTGCATATATTACTTTTGCCTAAAGTATGGCAGTGTTCATCAACCCCACTTCCCATAACTTTATAATTGGGAAAACATGTTGAACTTTTTCTTGAATGTGATTGCTGACTTTATGTAACAACTATTTCCTGCACCCATAAATATTATGATTAATTATAGCCTACATTACTTACCCTTAAAGGATTGAGTATTCTGTCATGATATTTGGTATATTCTCTGACCCAGGAATTACAGTTATAAATATAGGCTGCTACAATATTCTGATAGACACTTTCAGGCATAACAACAAACCATTTCGATAGGAACTCAGTCTGTAAAAATCAAGGCAGGTCAAATTTTCATTTGATATATATATGTAACATCACAATAAAAGATTTTCCTAAGGGGGAGTAAGTCTAAATGATTTTGCTTGATTCAGTCTAAATTTTTAATTGATTCATTCAAATGAAATGACTGGAGTTTTATATCCTACTTTTCTACACAGATAAGGCCATGCAGTCATCGATATGGGAATTTTCTCAGGTCAATTGATGCATTAAAAATTTTCAGAATATTTCAACTTACCCTAAATCTGTTTTCAGCACAAGTATGAGTAAAATCCAACACCAATTCAAATGGTTTGTGTACAAATGGTTTCAATGTTAACAAGACATGATAGATTAACAAATCACCATTAATTTCACCAACTCTGTAAAAGCAATAATTTTAATGAACAGACTTGGAAACAATAAGAGAAGACTTTGCGTTCAATTGTAAACTGAACAAAAACATTTGGCGAGAAATCAGTCTTAGTAAGAAAAATTAAGAGCCCTACACCATCTGATCAATAACATATCCGTATTCAAAATAATAATTAAGTAACAAAAAAAAAATGATGGTTACTAACTTATATCTTCTGGCAATATAATAAAATACAGGGTTTCCAGATTTACTTGTCCCAGCTTGATAAAATATATGTAAATTCTTCAATGATTTAAACTCATCTTTCTCGTGCATGTTGTGTTTTGACATGATTTCTTCAAATTTAGTACTGGTCATATCCATACTGCTCCATCTACAATAACATGACATAAGAGAGTTCACATAGAGAAATCATGTATGAGTGGAAATACAAGGGAGCCACATAGCAAATGGGGAAAGTTGGTTAAGACAGTGATTTCCAAAATATTTGATTATAAAAAAAACTTTCATAAAAACAGAGTGACTGTTAATCTCTTCAAAAGTTTTCAAAGCCAACTCTCTTTAACAATGAGATTAAGCACTTTAAAAATTAATTGTTTGAATTTGAAAGAAAAACTCACTGAGAATCTAAAGGTCTGTGTTCAGGAGGTCCAAGGTAAGCCAACAAAGTAGCCATTTTATCAAAAGGTCTTCTTCCAACTGCTTTATGATCTCTGGAAAAAAAAGAGCAAATGTTAAAATAAAATATTTCAGGTTACAATTTTGCACAATTTCCAAGATATATGTATCCAAGTATTCTATTTAATAACTTATGTTTGCAAGTAAATGTATCAATAATTTGTCTTCTGTAATCCACAACCAAAACCATACACCAAAATGTTAGTTTTATAAATAGGAATATATTGTATTATGTTTCATAAGCGAGAATCAACATCTTCAGGATGGTATCACATCATCTCCTTTCACAATTTTAACTGATATAATTTTTATTCATTGGCTAAACATACGATATGATTTATACAGTGTAACATATAGCTTTAAGCATAACGAATGAAGGAATTCCATTCCATCTAATATCATTCAATAAACAACCTTTACAAGTGAAAAAGGACTGCTATATATCAGTATAGAATGTTATCATTTAAAAATAAAACAATCCTTCAACAATATCTTAATTAATAAACTGGACAATACCAATCATTCTGAAATATTTCAATAAATTTAACAGAAACACAATAAACTAAATATACACCAATATGACAACAATTGAAACAATTATCCTATTAAAAGTACACTGGATAAACAAGAAAGAAACAACCATTTATTATCCTAATTTATTGCATTAATCAGAATTTTCTGTATACCAAAAGGCTCACATTATACATATGTGGATGTGTATCCTGAATAAACATAATCATGCTGACAAAGATGTGAAGTTGGCAAACTCAGGTAGAGATCGGTCTCTGGTGTTCTAAAGATGAGGCTAGCTCACAGCACCCATCACAATAATGATTATGAATAGGCTTTATTTAAGAAATTGATTAAAGATATCAGGTCTGGATTTTTAAACAGACCATTAAGGCCGGTGCATACAAGAGTCATCAGCTCATTCATTTGTCTCGAGTGCAGATTGTCTTAACAGTATTGTTTCACCGCAGGCAGTGCTCATTTGTTCGCTGTCGTTACACATGGGTTAAAAGTTGGATCCAGCGAAGACAAGAAGTGCAAATCAGGTATCTAGATTTGATAGGAGAACATATTACATTATTTATTACAGTATCAAGGTAAGGAAAGACAGACCAAAGTTCAATTATTTTGTCTTCTAGGCCTGTGTCATTTTGGATATCAGCAGTAAAATATCACACGACAGCTTCAATGCAGTCTTTTGACCCTTAAGAAAATTTTGAGCTATCATCTCACGTTGTCAGCACACAATGAGTCAATCATCATCCCTGCCAAACTATAACAAACAGGATAAATTTCTGACGCATTGACAAACAACGCAGGAAAAATTACCCACACACAGTGAATATTTAGTTACCTTGACAAATGGCTGAGCTATTGGTTTTAGCTATGACCAATTTTGTCTAAGGTACATATTAGGACACAGTCGTCAGTTTGATGCAAATACAACCAACACATTCTTCACCCATTCAGACTGTAGTAAGTATTACTGAAATTCCTGTACACTGTTTTCAGAAGGCTAGTTAATAACGCCCTGGAAGTATTTGCGTCTGAAATTGAGCTGAATGTTTTGCAGAACTTTTTTCTTCTTAAATTCTTAAGTCAATTTGTATCTCATACTTTAGGTCTAGTGAAGTTTGTCTTAGTTTAAGTAGAAACTAAACAATAAATTATTATAAAAGCACACAATGTATCTGTAACAAAACCAATGTGAGAAAACTGTCAACAACGTTACTGCCCAAGGTTAATATATCTGAAACATGCAAATATAACATGCAGGGACACAAAAGGTAATTACAGAAAAAATTGTGAAATCAACAAGACTAATTTCAGGGAAATTTCAGATCTTAATGATATTCTCAAACAAATACAAAAAATATTTCATATAAATGTGCCTCTGCTAGAAGATTAAATAAATAAATAAATTTGGTAAGTGCTGTATTCTATTTCTAATAACTATAAGTGCCCTCTGTTTTTAGTAATATACTTCAACACCACAATAAATATAAATGGATTATTTCTATATATAGAACAATAACCTTGCCACATCTAAATGTATTCTCTTGAAAAGCTTTTAAAATGGTCAATCTAATCTTAAGATACTTCAATTATAAATATATATAGATTTTTTAATATGATTATATGCATATCAGTCTAATCAAAATTAGATCAAACCTTCAGTCCATTTTTTATTAGCTCTTATTCTACAATTAGAGTCTAACGACTAATTTGACAAACATTCAAGAGGGCTGTCGTTAGACTCTTACGGAAGTGGCCATATTAAAAAAAAAAAAAAGCTAATAAAAAAAAATGATTGAAATTTGGTCAGATTTCAATAAGACTGATATGCAGGACATCTTGTGAGATTTAAGCTTTTCAAGTATCATAAACTTCAACAAGAAATATCAAATATGAGTTAAGTTCAAGACAGACTAAGAAGTAGGGAGATGCAGACTAAATATAGAATATATGATATAAGAACTACAAAAGAACTACAGAAAAAATATATAGAATAGAGACTGTTAGTATACATACAAACGCGGTGGCCCATCAGCCGAATCACATACAAAATTCTCTGTATGTACTTCCAAACTAAAAAATAGAAATAGGGTCATTTCTTATAAAGTTTTCTATACCACTGTTCTTATAATGGCTTGGGAAATTCAATACTTGTACAAAATGGAAGAAAGTTTTAAATCCTACTGTTCTAGTCTAAAGCTAATGAAAACAGGCAAATGGATATTTTGCAAAAAACTGTCTACTTTCTTAGAATTCAAGTTTTTATGATCACTATATTTCCATATGCATAGTATAACAAATGACAGTGGCTTTGTCTTCAAAAAACCAAAGCTGTATATATAACATTACTGCAACTGTATTTGACATTATTTTATAGACGATTGAAATTCATGACCTGATCTTTAAAAAGAATCAGGAATTGCAGATGTCAAAAATATTGAGAATGTCAATTCAATGTCATTCAATGCATGAGAAAGCTGCAAATAAATGTCATCTGGAGATTCAAATTCATATGTTGAGATCTAGTGTCTCAAAGTTATTATGATGCATAAGGTACATGCAACTAAGAGAAGAGTTAGTTTGAGAGCAAAATCCAATCGCAATAAGTAAACTGTAAACAATCATGAAAAAAGGGCAGGATATCATTATTTATTTTTAAAATTGCAGCCTAGAAAACTTTTCTTGTTGGTTATCATAATTTCTTCAAATTCTTTTAATGCACTAGTAGTTCTGAATGGACTCATTCAGGAATTACAAAAAAAATTGAAAAAAAAAAACAATCATGTCATCATAACAATGGCAAAAAAAAATCCCAAATTTGTTTGTTATTTTTGAGCATAACATTGGCATAACATATTATCCAACATGTATCTTGTGTTATTTTTAAGCATAACATTGGCATAACATATCCAACATATTGCCTTTATTAATTTTAGCAAAACCTTGGTACAACATCACATGTCTCTTTTGTTATCACTGATCATAATATATCCAACATGTCTCTTTTGTTATTATTGAGCATAACATTGGTAAAAGTGCAAAAAATAACAAGTCAAGTGTCAAAGCAGGTCAACAAAATGTTTGTACACTGCAACAGCCTGTAATAAGCAGTGAAAAACATAACAAAAAATAAATGCATATTTTCAAGTATAAACAAATTCCTTGTGCTTATAGCTAAAGCAATGGATGAAATAGAATGGAAATATTTTCAGACATGATTCTCACCTGCTACTTGATAAGTAATCTCCAATCTTTTCCTGATTATTCCATAACAGTCTATGAAGCGCCAAGACATTAGCATCATTGATGAATGATAGACTGTGATTTCCAGTATCCAAGGTTTCACAATCAGATGCTATCTCTGTAAAGAATCTGAAATTTTCGAAAGAATTTTAATAATCAGCTACAAAAAAAAAATTGACATATTGAAGAATAACAATAATATATGATAACCATAGAAATCAATCAGGGTTTATATTTGGTCAGGATTTTTGTAGATTGCACAACTTTTACAAAGACTTAAAAGGAAATCAAACTCTCTACTTTAATGTAAACTTTTACTCGACTAAACATTAAAAACAGCTTATTGAATCCCAATTTTCAACATTAAATTTTGTCGCATGTAAATGAAAGCTCTTCCTATGAATAAAAAAAATCATCCTTATCTATATATCTGCTTTACCAACTGACAATTTCACCAATCCATGTTTAGATCAATTCATAATAACAACATACAGCTTTGTTATTGAAAGTCTTACCTTCTACCAGCATCAAAATTACTTTTCAAAAACTCATTAAAAGCTGGCATGTGTTGTTCTTTGGTAAAGAGTAAATGATTGGCAATATTCTGCATGATTTTACACATTAATGTTAACCCTCTCTTCATACGAGATGTTGGTTCTTCTTCAACAATACCAGATTCATATGGTGAAACTATTTAAAAGAAAGACATACTTTATTTAGCTCAGGGACACTTGAAATAAATCAATCTTTTTTTAATATATCATTTTTCACTAATAAGAACTTTCCAGATAGCTTACTTTAAACAAAAATCCTAAAAATATAATTTTAATTTAATTGAAGAATTTTGACTTGAGAAATCAATAGAGTTACATGATTTTGATAAACAATATGGTTAAATTAGTTAAAAGCTTTAAATAAAGATTCATTAAAAGATCATCAGTTTATGCTTTGAAGGCTTTAAATGCAATTTATTATAAGAAACCTCTACTAAGCTTTAACTAACAAGCAATCAATTTGCAGAAATCAGATTTTAGTAAGCATGCTTTGAAAAGGACTCAAATTATTCCAAAATAAAAATTAAAAAAATACTTAAATTAAATTGAGTAAAATAAAACCTCCACACTTTATAAACAAAATAAAAATCAAATTCCATTCAAATATAAATTTCACATACACAGCAATTGAAAAATTTAGACAATTACCTATTGCAGGATTGATGAACCGTAAAAATATGACAGTGCCTATAACAGTCCACACACTGTCAGCACTACTTTGTTGGAATCTTTGAGTTACAACCTGATACAGTGTGTGACACATACTTCTTAATTTAGGTGGAAACCTAGTAAGAATTGGAGCAAAATTATTTCCTTTCTAACAACCTACATGCATTAAACTGATATGAATGATTAAGCACAGTGAGATAGTGAGTAAATGATAGTAAACAAGCATGAAGCATAACAAAGCATGGGAAACAATCAGGTGCATCGTAAATCATAAATTTTTCACTGTGATTTTGAAATTTCTAACTTTTAACAATAACCACTTTCAGTCAAAAATCAGACTTACATTATGAAACCAACACCTCAAATATTTATGTTCTTTGAAAGGAATGAATGCATGATACAAATTCACAATCATGATATTTGTAATGAAAATCCTGATAGTTATTATGAAAATCCTGATAGTTATTATGAAAATCCTGATAGTTATTCTGACAATCATGATAGTTATTCTGAAAATCATGACAATTATTCTGAAAATCATTATGAATATAAAGGAGTATGTATGATATGCAACAATGATATTCAAGATTGAAACATGCATCATGACAGATGAGAATTGGAGATAAAAAGATGTTGTGCATCCAAAATTTCATATTTGTTACACCAAAACTACAAAATTAAAAGATCTTAAAAGTATAAGAGAAAGATTTTCAATTTTTTTTTTTTGCAAAAGGATCTTTTTTCAGTACTCGAAACTATCATCAGTTGTCTAATAGTCACAGTGATAACTAGAATTGTGAAAATTTCTATCCAAACTTGTGTAAAACTATAAGGATTCCTTCCATGATTGATCTGGATAACCTTACTAAACACGAAAACAACTATGTGTTAAATTGTGACGGCATGATGAACATGGCTTTAAGAGTTAATAGCAGCATTATCTAATGAAGTAATATTAGTATATGTGCATCTGAACAATTGCAAGCTCTATCATGAACTCTGTCATCATTAGGCATTTTCCTTGCATCACATAACTTTTTAACTTTAAGCAATTTGATTGAATTGTACGTTAGCCAATCAGAGCCCTCAAAAGATAAAGGCTGTTAACAAAATGGCTACCTGTGTAACTAATGATGGACATCGTAGACTCCATCTCTTTGTACTTTCTAACAAGGCATTTGATGGTATATTAATTTCCAACTGGTGTCACTCAACTTTCAATCAAGATAAGTGCCTAATGATGTCAAGGTATTAGACAATGGTCAGTAATAGCTTGATATTGTACAGATGGTATGTGAGGACAGTGAATATACTGATATGATATATTGATATATATAAGATGGCATAATGTCTCTTGTACACTTCTGAAGATTACCTAGCGCTGGATTATAGAAGCGCAGAAAAATGACAGTTCCTGTGGCAGTCAAACTGTTTTCATTAGGTATTTGTAATGCGATGACTTGGTCCAGACAATGACACATTGTACGTAGTTTATCTGGGAATCTATTTAATGGAGTAAGGGGGTTAAATACAGTAGAAATACGAAATTTGTGATGAATACATATAACATTTTTATTATTGAAATAAGGTTTTGACCCTTTCAACACCAGTGACTGCTTGAGAAACTTGAGAAGTAGCTTTTACGAAGTGAAATCATACACTACATTCAGTATTGAAAGGGTTTTAATGATAATGTAATGATGAAATAAATTCAGATCTTTAAACCTAACCTAAACAGCATAACTTTTGTGTAATTCATATGAACATTTACAAAATAGTTGATTGGCCAATTTTTGTTTCAAAATTATATGTTTGATATTTTCTTCTTATCATGCAGTACACAATGATGTTAAATGTTTTTATAACTCACTTTGGTGCTGATTCAACAATAGCATTAAAGACTTTCTGTGTAATATTCAACAGGTTCATTTTATTGTCTTCTATATTTTCACCACTTTCTAGCCTGGAGGAAAAGACAAAAGTATGCTTATCTTTCCAGAACAGGTAGCTTTTTGATTCTATCTTGTCTACTACAGTATAAAATCTATGCATCAATATATTAATATATTTACTGTATAATTCTATGGGTAGATATCTTCAGGTGTTTGACATCAATTTTGTCTCTTTTGGTTTGGGGTGTGAGCCAACAAATCTTGACAACACATACAATGTTATCAAAATATTTTGTGCCTTTAATGGAACAGACAGATCAAATCCAACTTACTAGAGAATGAGCCATTCCAATGCACAGCTAATTTATTTTCAGATCTCTCGCTTCAAGATGATTAAAGGTCTTACCTTGCAGGATCTATTTCATACATGGTTCTATTCTCAGCATCCATTCTAAACATTTCTAATATCAGTGGTTGAAGAAGTTCTCGTAAATAAGTCTGACCATAAAAGCGAAAACAGTACGCCATAATTTTACTGGCTAAACTATTACCTCGAAATAATGTCTGCATACAATCAGCTATTTCAACCTGTTAATGTTAAACATTTTAGATAATTAGACATAAAGCTATCATGTTATCATAAAATAAGAAAGAATTTCTAAAAATTATGACCAATAGCCAAAACAGTTCATCTCTCTTCACTATCCTGCTAGATATAACTTGCCCACCAATCAGTTTCTATGAAACTATTAACAGTAATGTCTTTAATCAGAACACTTACCTCTTTCATAAACATATTCCATAGTAACTGATACAACAATCTTTTAGCATCAAATAGATTAACAAATACTCGAGCTAATTCATCCTGAAAAACAAATAAGATTGCTATGGATTGGTACGACACATAAACTTCTGACAGAAATCAGCTTTTTGTCAGTTATTAGCTGTATAAATTTGGAGCAAGGATTCTTTCAACTTTCAAAAACCTTATTTTAAAAAAAAAGGAGAAAAGAACCATAATTTATCAAGATATTAAAAGATTGTCTTTAATCAAATGTCTTGGCATATGATGTCAAAATATTCAACACTACAGACAGGTGAGCTACAACCCTTGTCTATTCTTAAACTAATTAAATAGTTTCAATAAAGTCTTTACCCAAAAATTGATTACGTTGAGGACAGCTGTGTGCAGGTTTGAAAATACATACCATTTGTGAGTTAGAAACAACTGTTGCTAGTGCCATAGCTATGGGTAGTTCACCTTTATCACCAATCATAGTGACCAACTCTACCAATCTCTCAAACCTATCAGCTAGAGCTGTCTCAGCTAATGTCTCAAACTCTGTTCCTTGTTGTAAAATCTTGGTTAAAACTTCCATAAAGGCTGCTCTAGTCTGAGGATCTTTATGGTATCCTAAAGCTGAAATTATAAAAAAGGTATTCCATCAAATCTATGGAATTTGGACAACATTTCGTATACTCAAATAAAGGTAAAAAAATTTGCTCATGTTTCCTTATGGACTGTTATCAGTTTGTATCTGGGTGCTCTTTGATCATCAAACCTGCAGTTTAGTGAGACTGTGAGAAAAATTAAATTCAACCCATAATTGGACTGTTTGAAAATTCCTATACTGGGATGTAAATAACCAACATATTCTATACATTGGCTGTAATTCTCAGAAATATTTTAAATGAAATGAAGGTTTATAAAAGCTATTAACAATGGGCAAGAGCAGCGCAATGAGAAAATATTTGCCAGTGCACTAAGCCTACTTTTTTTTTATTTCCAAATGTTGAGGGGTCTTAAATGTGCACATCCTAGTGCAGACATTTCAACAACCCTGACAGACATACCAAGCAAATAGAGTCTAATAAACAGCTCTGAAAATATAAGGTTTATATTCTACATAATCTGGTAATACTCAATATCTAGACTAACAACCAAGGATATAAGATATAAAAAGCTTGTAGTATTCTGACTTACCAATAGAATGCATGAGGCCACTATCTATATTAGCATTGAGTAAATTGGACATAGCCTGTACAGTACAATTTCTTAATACAGATAAATTAGACATGCTTCTCTTTCTATGAGGATCTAGAGCTTTATCTTGTTCTTCTTCTGAACAATCATTTAACAGGTTCATAAATAGTGTTAAATATCTGAAAAGAGAAATTGAAAATCATTTAGAATGTTGTTTTATATTGCAGATTTTTTTCTTACTTACTAGAGAGAAATAGAGATGCAAAAGCAAGTTAAATCGATATCACACAAGTTACATTCCACAAGGTGATCAACAGATTGAAGATATAATTGTATATCCTAAATCAAATAGCTGAAAATTCTTACTTTAAGAAGAGTTGAGATTTAGCCTCCATTAAGTCTCCTCTATCACTTTCTTCAGGTTGTAATGGTAAACCAGCTAATAATGCTGCTACAGCTTCCATACTGGCTTGATCTAACTCTCTAGAAATACAGTTTGTACACAAATTTATGACCAATGCTAAAAGTTTGGACATCATGCTTTTGAAAGACTTCTGAAAGATCGTCAGTCGTCTGCTTTGTTCCTTTGCTCACTTCGTTTTAATGAATTACAGTGAACCAGGGCTGTTGATTTATTTTTTTGTCATTTTTCAACAACCTTTGATAGAAAGTCTTTGATTATATCAGTGTGTGAACTGTATCTATTGTAATATGAGAAGACCTACCTTGATAAGCTACAGATATCACCCTGTATATTGACTTGATGTGAATTACCCATAATCCAATCTGTTAAATATTCTACTAGTTTATTACGAAACTTCATCTCTTGACGAAACGTCAGTTCATCTCTTCTCTTCATCATCTATGAAAAAAAACATACATTTACAATTCAGTTTTATTAATTTCTTCACAGAGTGTATTGGAACATTTTGAATTTACTTTTAACTGGCCTCTGAGAGTTATTTTCATGGTTGTAAAAAGTAAGTAATTGAAGGTTTGTAAATACTTACCACCCCTACTAGTTGACACAGTCTTGTTTTGATTGGTATAGCATGTACTGAGGAATCAAGGTTTCGCACATATCTACAAACAAATATACAAGTTAAAACAATATGTACCATGATTACATAACAAACCGAACATAGAAGTGTTTTGATAGGCTGGTTTAAAAACCATGAGGTTTATGTACTAAAGTGAAACACAGTAGAAATAACAATAGTTTTGAATGTGTTTGAGAACAATGTTGTTGAAAATTAAAATTTAATGTACCTGACAATAGCTAACATTAAAGATTCAATACTGGTAACACCAAGATATTCACATGGCTGATCTCCTTTCATTTCTAATATACTTTTTAATATAAATATAACATTGACTATACACTGGGTATTCATCTCGGTTACTATTACCTATAATATAAACAAATATAACATTACAATTCAATATACTATCATAAATATCAAGGACACAGGGGCCGAGCAGTGCAATTGATTGACAGGCATTATTAACAGATCATCAGTTAAAATATAAAGAATGAATGATTTTTGTAAGTATTATCTTTTAGTTGACTTCTCACTGCTGTGAATAGAGTTTCCTTTTTTCAATTAACATCAAACAGAAAGTGTCACCAAAGAATAAATTACAACACTATGCCGAGATAAGAGCCAGTAAAACCACCAATAGAAAATATATCCATTATCTGATGAGTTAGAGTTATTTTTCTCCAAGAGATTAATATCATTACAGTCAGAGATATAGATACATTAAAATACATACCTGTCCCCCAGAGTCAAAATATTTATCAACACAAACTTTGGTTTGTTCAAATAATATAGGATATAGAGCAGGGTTCAATTCATGACCCACTAATTCTTTGACATGTTTCTGTATAGGTGCTCCTATCTTCTCATTTTGAAATACCAATAGTTTTAACAGATAACCAATGAATCTTAAAAAAAAAGAATGCAACATTCAAGTTGTAATACCTAACAGTAACAGTCCTTTGTAAACTATTTGCATTACCTCTTTTTGCAAGAATAATAAAAAATTGATTTGCTATCTTGTCTTGTCTTAAGGGTAAGTTATTAAAAGATCAATTTAGGTTTTACATATTACATAATTACACCTGACATGAACTATGCTAGATTTCAGATGTTGTGAAAAAGGTATAAGAGTAGCCCATTGAGACAACAATGAGTTTAAAATTACAAAAAAAGAAGTATACCGCAAAGATATTGTCAAAACTGGACCATAGCCAACTTGTGAAAAAGCCAATGATCCAAGATACATATTATACAATCTAAGAATAACTGGTCCCTGTCTAAAGTAATGTAATATAAACTTACTGAGTAACAGGACAGTATTGTTCAGTTTGTACTGTCTGCATTATACTACTCTTTCTACCTGATTCTAATATACCAGCTGATGATGTACTGAAAAATAAATATATTTTACATATTATAGTATATAATATCAATTCAACAAAAAACTGCTAAGGAACTGCCTAAAATAGTCATATCTGATTCATTTTTTTATATTTTTCAAAAAGTTTCCCCGTTCTGTTCAATGCCCATACAGTAGACATAACTTGCTGTTTGTCAGATTAACTATGAACCCCCTTCAAAACCTTCAACAGCAATAACTTAAACTTTGAGCTCTAAAAATACTAACCTGACTTTTGGTGTTTTATTCTGTAATCTAACACTTCCTAAAGCACATAAAAATCCTGTCATATTGGCCCATTCATTTAACTGATCCTGAAAAGAAGATAAACACTTTTTATAAACACATGACTGGACTGAACTAGTATATGATATATAGTTCTCAGAAAATTGTGGTGTTTCAGGGAGATTTTCATAGTACAGGCTCTCTTTAGTTCAAATCAAATATCAAGGCTCTTCCTAAAATGTCTATCTAACCTTCATGACTTATAAAGAAGTTTTCAAAAATAAAGAGGTGAAGTTGGACATAATCGATGAAGATAAGTTACCTCTAATTCTAGTTCAGTATAAGAATGATGAGTTGTTTTACGTTTTAATCTCATTAGATCAGCTATTTCTCTACCTCCTTCTTCAAACTTCTTAGGTGATGACTCAATATGTCTGGTTACATTCTCCCAATTTCTATACGTATCTTCCCAAGCCTGAAGAAAACACAAAAATATTGAAGAAAAATATCTTCAGAGTCTAGTTAATCTCAATCTTAAGAAAAATTATCTCAAATATCGTGATCACAAAACATTCCACATACTTAGTTTAGATTTTACTCTATTTCATAATGCCCTGTGCATCAAGAAAAGGAGAAAAGACTGATATATTATTATCTTTGATACATTCAGTTATGTACCTTTTATACCTGCTTTAAATTTAAATTTGAGTAAAATTTCTACTTTGTATGAAAAATATAGAAGAGTTATTGAATTGTCTTTTGGAACCTACATCATGTCCAGCTGTATTTAAGTCTTTATGAAAATGAAGGGTTTTTTTGTATTTTATCAAATTAACCATAAAGTTACTGATACAAATTCATAAATAAAGATTTGTTACTTACCTGTGAATTACCAGAAGTAGAAACTTCTATTTTTCTTAATAGCGCCATAATTCTTTTCTGTAGAGCAGCACGACCTGAAAATAATAATACAAAGCCATTTAGAAGAGACATTTGTCAGACTGCTTTATATGTAATTCAAAATAAACACAAATCTTTGCTTCAGAAACACCACTCAAATGAAGGTGTTTGGTGGAAATTTTACCATCAAAACCAAAAAGACCAGCAAAAGATCAACAAAAGAAATAACGTCAAAGTTTTTTCAAGAATTATCAACTATATTTGATATCACAATCTTACCTGTAGGTAGGACTGTACTAGTGGCAGCTAATTCAGAATAAACATTATAATTAGGTAATAACTGGGTGACAGCCATCTCATCAGCTCCACATCTTATATCAGCTTCCTCACATAGCAACCGAAAACAAGACATAGCTGTTAATACAGCATCTATCTCAAAACTCCATAAATACATAAAGAATACAACCTGTAATAGAAAGTATTATCTTTGCTATCTGGCATATATCAGCTCTGGAGCTATTGCTTAGGCTCAAGATTTTCTCAGTCAAAATTTCTCAGAAACCACATCAAAGCAACTTTGAATGCTTAACAGAGATGCTGAGCATATCTTTTTAAAATTATTTTTGGACCCTAAATGTTACTTATCATTTTCTGTAAAGGATGTACTAATCTTTCACAGTATGGATTTGATTGATTATCATAAACTTACCTCAAGTTTAATATGGGCCTGAATACAGATTTGTTTGTTACTACCAACATTAGCTATAGTACTATGTTTCTGTAAGAATCTATTACGACATACTAAAATATCACGCAACCATTTCAGTATATCAGTATAGTTGACTATTTGATGTTGAATTAGTCTTTGACTGATATAGAACAGTACTTGAGAACTGAAATTTAAATCAAAAACAACTAATGGAAAAAATGTAACACAAAGTAATGTAAATTTTCCAAAACTTTTGATTCCCATTTTATTGGCTGTATAAACCCATGTCAGAACCTACTGCTATTTAAGCATTTATATATACTCAGTAAATTTTAAAAGTGAAGTCTTACTATGTCCCTAGTTTTAATAAATTAAAAGATATACCTGATATCCCAGAAGGTATTCATTGGAGCTTCAGGATTCCATAATTCTATATTCTCTGGTCTATGTAAACACAATAAAGCCTACAAATACAGGAATATTTTATCATTGCTATGAAAGATTAAGTTTAAAAATTCATATGAATAAAAACAAACTTATTTCATATTTTTAGAATTGGCTTAGAATATTAAGTTATTTCTGAAAGGATGAACTTCTGCATAAAATCATGGTAATGGAATGAAAATGATATAAATTCTTTGGATTTAAAGTAATCCAGAGTGTGTTAATAAGTGATAGAACAGCATCCAATGTCATGGTGAGAACCCTCAGTTCAACACAAATGCTAGGAAAGTACCACAAGCAACTATCTCTATCAAATGGGTAGTCAAGGAAAGAAAACTAAGGAACATCACTGACCTTCATAGCTTTCTGTGCTACATCTGTCATCCAGGGTTGATGAACCAATGATACTAAACCTGTTATCAGTTCTAGTGTACTTCTCTGTATTTCATGACCAGGTTTACCTTGATTCTGGAGATAAATAAACAAGGATAAAAATTGATTGATTCTTTATTTTCAAAGACTCAAGCTTTTTAATAAAAGCACAAAGTATTTCATTTCATTTTGAAAAAAGCTCCATAGAGAACTATTATAAGTTGATCTACTCTCAGTCAGAGAGAAAAGTCTGATGACCTTGATTAAGCCAATACAGGTTACATATGACAAAACTGTTAAAATTGAGCTTAGATAATCTTTACACGATCCAAGGTAACTAATGTGAAACCTAGTCTGTAATAAAACCAAAGCAAATGTTATGCAACTAATATTTCAAAACTAACATGTAACATAAGATTAGGATCAGCATGTATTAACTTTACTATCCATAACAATATATGTTTATAATTATTTAAAGTTTCATCAGCTGTTTTTGTCATCTTGAAGGAACTTGTTACTTTAGTAAGCCCCTGAAAGAAACAAATTGAAATAAGTATTAAGATTTTACAAAACATACAATCTTCGGGAGAATAACATGATATATTTAAAAACATGTCAGCTGACTCCAACTGAGCCTGTAGAATTAGTGCAAGAATTGCACAAACTTTGCCAAAAACAAAAATTATGAGATGTAAATGGGTTAAGTGAATCCAGACAATATCACTGCCAAGAGGTATGGACAAGGATCAGCTGTTTGAAAGGATACCAAGTGACCTTTAGTTGTATGATAAAAAAAACAAGAAGACACCTGTTTCTCTCTTTATTTCTTTCATTCAAAGCACGATTCAATCAAGTTTTTTGGATAACTTTCATTATAAAGAAACATACCGTAGTACCAGACGTGGAAGATTTTGTTGTACAATGGCTACTAAAACCTTGAGTTACTTTATTAACTGTATCAGTAAACATATGTCTTAATTCTCCTGCTTTACCATAGATTAAACTGATATCAGGCCACCAGGGTAAACGTGTCTGAAAAATAAACAGATCAAACTGATATCAGGCCACCAGCGTAAACATGTCTGAAAAATAAATAAATCATACTGATATCAGGCCAGTAGGGTAAAGGTGTCTGAAACATACATAGATCAAACTGATATCAGGCCACCAGGGTAAACATGTCTGGAAAATAATAATTTAACTTAAATCAGGCCACCAGGGTAAACGTGTCTGGAAAATAATAGACTAACTTAAATCAGGCATATCAGGCCACCAGGGTAGATCTGTCTGAAAGAAAATATAGCTTAAACTAATATCAGGCCAACTGGGTAAACTTGTCTGAAACATACATAGATCAAACTGATATCAGGCCACCAGGGTAAAGGTGTTTGAAAATAAATAATCAAACTGATATCAGGCATTGTCCAAGATAGGAAAGAAATCAACATGATATAGCTAAAAGCTGTAACTCAAAGTCACAGAGACATTCACAAAAAAAGTCTAAGGCTTTCATGTAAAGTAAGAAATGGCAGGCGCCTTGAACATTTTTTAGAAATACATCATATTTTCTTACCTCTGTGATAATTCTGTGAAGAGCATTAACAAGTACATAATGATACAGCGGATTAGAATTGGTATTTAAACAGACTTTTAACACATCATTATTGTGAGGTGTTATACGGAAACATGATACAAAACAATCTATATACAAGTCATAGTCTTGACCAACTAAACTTTGGGAGAATTTGGTGAATGGTTTACAGTTTGGTGGGGGGTTAAACAGCAACGTCTGAAAAAATAAACGTTTTATACATTACATAGTATTTCAGAACATTGCTACTTTAATCAAGACTATTTCACTCAAGGGTTAAATACCAAAAGCAAAAACAAAGGTGGCAATTAAAAACCTTACTGTACTGATCAATGCTGAAAAGTACTCTGATCTTTTGGCCTTTTTGATTAACGCATATGCAAAAAATTGATGCATCTGAACAATATAGAATTAACTGAATTCCAAGTCAATAGTTAATATCATAAGTCTTAAATGAGATCATTAAAACTAATGCCATGACCAGTGCTTTTGTGGATCACCCCAAACATAGCCCTACTACCATACACTAAATACAACCATACCTTTAAATCTTGTATAACAGATTGTACCAGGGTAAAGAGTACATTAAGTCTATCATTAATGCTGATATAAGTGGAGGATTTACACAATCTAACACAAGTTACAGCAGCTCCTTCTGTCAGTGGTTTATAACCATGGTGTGAGGCTATAGCTTTCTTCACTTCATCTATAAACTGTTTCTTACGGATATGTTGTTGAGAACATGGTGCTCCTGTATCAGCATTATTAATTTCTTCTAAGATTTTCTACAAAATCAAAATTTTAATGTGACAATGTAAACAAAAAATGAAATGGATAGGGCTAATGATGACATGCATCAGCATTCTGTGATTAAAGCAGCATTGGCCTAAATATATTTAAAGCAATTCTTCATTTATTTATATTATATTATCTGTTTTGCTAGGTTTTCCAAGAAGATTAAAAAGTTGAATTGAAAATACCCAAATTAGGAACACACTGTTAAGAAACCTTTAATATGAAATTTTTTTGATATGGGTTGAAACAAAATTAAAGATCTAAGTCATTGGTAAGTAACAGTTATATAAATACTCTGAACTGTAGGCATTTCTACACATCAATTCTCAACACCAGGGGAGAGATATCTAGGCTATCAACTAGCTAATTAGATGTTTAAATGTTTCAGCTATATGTTATCAACTGATATAAGCTTATACTTACAGGACACAGTATTAATAACATCATCTGTAAAGGCCATATTGATGCTTTCTTTCTGTTCGAAGCTTCAGCATTATTAAACTGTTCAAATAATTTATCACAGCATTCCTGTAATTCTTCGTTTGGTCTCTTCTGTAATTCAGTAAATTCTGTTGGGTAGTTATCCATCCAATTCCAAATAGCCTGCAAAGAAAGATAAAATATGATTCTGAAATAATATGTATGTAATTTTCACCAGTTTTGTCAATAATAACTGGATTAGAGCTCCAAACTTAAAATTAAAAACGGATCTAAATCATAACCATCTCAATGAACGTATAAACAATAAAACCTACCTTCTCTAAGTTTTGACTAAGAGTAATAGCAACTGGCTTGGTTTTTAAGTTACGAAATTTGGATACCTCTGTAATAGAATCAGATAGAATGTGTATATGAAGTGTAAATATTATCAATGTGAATTATGGTATTTCTGCTCAATCATTTTTCTGTGAATTTGATTATCAGCTTTAAAATACAAGGATAGATATTGTTTTTAAAAAAAAAACATGGGTACATATAGACCTAATAATTTAATATTTATATTTATTTCAGCTTCAATTTATAATGTTTTTAGTTGATATTTATTGCAAGAAATTTTTTTTACTAGATCTGGACTCAAATACCATTATATCATAATATCAGAAAGCCATTCTAAATCATGTTTTTAAGCTGATATTTCACATTATATGAAACAATCATCAAAAAGAGTGTAATAAAAGTCTGTCTTACCATTGAGTAATTTAGTCAATCTAGCTATATCCATATTCATATGTTGTATTAGTTCTAGATCGGATAAATCTGATTGGTCATCACTTGGATTCTGTAATGCTGTTAATCTGGATTTAAAATAAGTCAAACTTAAGGTCTTTTTGTTTCCAAATGTATTTTTATGCAATTCGGAAGAAAGTGATTGTCTTCTATGTTGTACATGATAGTTGAAAATAGAGTATGCTTCTTTGGCAAACTTTTCCTCATTGTACCCAGTACAATATAGCCCAATTGAATGCAGAAAAGGAGGATATATTTCACAACCCATCATTAACAAACTCATCAATGTCACACAAGCGCTTTTTTCTAAGAAGTCACAATTAAGTTTTTTTTCCAAAATTTTTATTGACTAACCTTGCTGATATTCGATTAAACACAGCTGTAAAATTATTCAAACTGAGAGCAAACAGAACTTCTGAAGCTAAATTCTTCAGCTGACTAACTAACAAACAACTCTCCATGGGGTGATTTAAAAACTGAAACAGGAATAAAATCTTTCAATGAAACTTATACAACAGTTTCAATTCCCTTAATTTGGTTACCATCAAACAGTTCTTGGATTGTACGTATTCAATCTGAATCAAACTGTTTATTCTGTCTTATATAACTTGTGTTCAGTTTCAAGCAGACGCCTCAAATGGCTTCTACTCCACATAAAATATATCTGAAGTCTTCTTTAATCAATACTCTGACATTAAAAAAGGGTATGAAGAAGCGTCAATATTTTTCAGTTCTGTGCTTTTCAAATGTGGATTTCATCACGTTCACAAGCCAATTGTTGATGGAAAAAAGGATTGATGGACATGTGGAAGTGAAATTACATCGTAGGTTGATATGTGGAAAAAACAGATATCACAGGCTGGTCAGAGATGGATGCTTAAACAGAATGTTCAACAGAATGTTGAAAATTGCTTACGACTATCTTCACCAGTGCACTATCATAGATTGATTTTGCTTTTAACAATATACTGATGGCAAAGAAACATATAACTAATAGAAATTCTCACCTTACAAATTTCTGGCAGTAACAATTTGACATACATGGCTTCATCATATCTTGAGGTATCTTTTGGTTGCTGAAAATATACACAAAATAATGTTCTGTCACAAAGATAAAGCCTACAAAACCTGGCAGCTAGAAACTAGAAAATCTGTCTTAATGACAAAATACTGTTTTTTTATTCAATAGCCAATTGTCATCATCACTAAAAAATATCTAGTATGGTCGACAGCACACATGTCCTTTCGAAAAGACACTTTTTCAATTCAATCTACTTCAATAACATACAATATGTTAAAATTTTATGGACACTCACAGAATTAAGAACATCTTTGAGTGTATCTAATATAATCAGTTGTGACTCAAAATAATTTCTTTCTGCCTCAGGACAGTTCAATTTCTGAAAGATACAAAATGAAAGTAGAAATAGTTTAGGATCTATGTAACTTGTTAACTAAGGCAATACGTGTAATTTACAAAATCTGATGAAAGTCAAACCACTTTCACATCTGCAACTAACTTAAATAAACTGTCAAGGGTGAATATCAATATTTCCTATGATGGGTGTTAAAGAAATAAATTGGACAACACATTAAGAATGCTAACGTTTTTGGATTACGCAGAAATATTGACCAACCAACCCTTGATTTTTTTCATGCAAAAATTTCTCCTGAGACGTAATTAAGAAAATAAAAAAATTACGTAAGAAGCCTATAAATAGAGAAACCTTTTATGTTCAGTAATCAATTCATTTATCAGGTTTGACAAATAAATCATCTCAACTGTTTTCTAAAACATGTTACAATAAATGAGATAGCATTAGCTAAGTTGATAAAAGTAGCCAATTCAGACTGATCTGGTGTTATGTCAGATTAAGGGAATAAAATAATGTAAATTATACAAATATACATAAAAATATAACTCCCAAATCACAAATCATCAAGTCATATATTCACAAAAATGCAAATCTATCATTTGCTCAGGTATATTTCCTGAGAAGCCAAAGAAAATTTCTTCTATGAGTTGGCAGTTCTTCTATTTTGAACTTTTTAAGTACATCATTCACTGTTTTCAGGGCTTGATTTGAACATATGTAAATAGTCTTCAGAGGTACTAGAACCATACGAAAATCGCATAATTCCTTCAAAAATATCTCATAAACTAAAAATTATCTAAAGCTTATCTTTTCTCTTGGAATTGGGGTATAAAGAGAAAATTTGGGTTTGTGTTATTGAGCAAAATGGAAACTCTTGGAAAAAGCGAGTCGTCTTGGTTACTTTCAACCAATGATAATTATGAATACACACGGTTAAGAAGGCTTATGACATGTTATTTATCGACCTTGAACAATAATCTTATCAATTTTTATTAATTCTTGCAGATTTTACTTATGACATTTTTATATCAATTCTATGAATAGACACCTGATGCCACTTCTCATTCTGAAATACCTCCTCATCATTGATATACTGAATAATAGGATATGATAAATAGTTTATTTGCTGCTAAAAATTGATTGCGAATCTGTTATTTTGGATTTGATGGGTTTTGTTATGCGATTCATTATTATTATTTTTTTTCACTCAAACATTTTGATTGCCGATATTATTTAAGGCTCTTTTATAACAAATTATCTGTTGTTCTCATAACGATAGTAAGAGTGTGGATGTTGATCAGTTTTAATCTAAAAACATTTGACCTCATATTTATAACCTTATCAGCGAATGAGTAACTTTGATCATTTACATCACAGCCATTATCACATTTTTAATGACTCTTTTAAAATCATGAAGGACAAAGTAACTCAAAATAAAGGAAATATTTTCCTGTTAACCGAATTAGAAGTCAATCCATGTACCATTGAACTTCAAACAATTAATAAGGATTTCAAATATTTACCCACAACAGCTAAAATGAAAAGATATAAGAATACTGGAAATAGTAAGTTAAAATTAAGATTTTACAAGATTTATTTCTTTCATTTGACAACTATTGATTGAAAACTACATTAAAAAAATTTTGTATGTGGTATTTTTTGTCTGAGACCAGTAATATGTAAAGTTCATGTTAGAATCCCTGTCCTGTCATAAAGGGAACTGTTATTACTACATATGGAATTTGTATTACCAGTTAATATCCTGTATTACCAGAGAATCCTGTGAAGAAACTGGACCTTGACAAAAACACATAACATATATATCATTTATACCCATTTTTATTTGGGGTGATTTTAATTTGAGAAAAGATGACTTATCTAAGTTTAGCAGAATGCCAACTAAAAATAACCTATGATCACCAAACAATAGAGTCATAAAAATAGTATCAAATTCTTAGGAAAATGAAATATCAAAAAGAAAACTATTTACTCACCATTTGAGCAACTGACTGAAGAGTTTTGGTAAGTCCATTTATGACTAGAGAGAACTTATGTTTGCTAACATTTATCAAACATTCTTTATTCTGTTCAATATTCTGCATTGACTGAGTAGTGTGTGGACCTGACTTGATAGGTAGCTGAAATTTAGAAAAGAAATAGATTGTGATGTTGTTACGATAATCTTAGTGTGATAAAATTGAAAAGGAGATAATAGTCAATAGACACAATATGTCCTTTTAGAAGTTACTTAATTCATTCTACTGTGAATTAAGATTGAAATTAGTCGCATCAAAAGAGACAAGATGTGTAAGTAGATTTATTTAAATGACATGTTATGCAAGTGAAAAAAAATTTTCATAGATGCAATTGCTGTTAAAATTAATAGTTATAAATTATTCTATAAGCTTAGTCAGACTATGTCTGAAACATAAAACACAAATGTAAATTTGTATATTAATTCAAAATGAACGGTTACAGTCATAATTTCGGTAGTTGAGCTTTGTGGATGATTATGAAGTATTATACATGAAATATTTCAATTTTCATATTTATAACAATGCAAGATATCATCAAGGCTCTAACTTCGTGTAAGCTTCACCAAAGTCTTACATAGCGTCATATAAGATGCCAGTTAGATACAGATCCCCGTCTCTGAGATAATATTGAATGCATTTCTTTGAAGAATTAAGTCAGATCTTGACTTGACAGACTGTATTTGAATCTACTGCTTTTGTAGCTTTCAAAGGGGTAGGGACATTTAGGGGTAGAGAGGACATTTAATAGCGAAACATTATTTTATGGCATGCGAATCCTTAGTTCTATTATACACATCTCAATTGTCATCATCAAAAACAAATTCAAGCAAATTAAGGCTGTTTACTAAAGAAGATGCAGATATCTACTGCCATTGACATAAGGTACCGGTACATCCTTTAGTAAGACAAAAACATTAATATTGATTGATTGTGAGCATTTAGGCTAATGCTTTTCAATATATCTAACAGCTTAAATTTTACTTTTCTGTTTTCAATCTAGCCTAGATCTACCTGACTTGCCTCATTATCATTTTTATCATCCATCAACTCATCAAGCAAAATTTGGGTTATGAAATGACAGTAAGTCTTTCTAATGAGTATGTTGCTTCAGATAAAGAATATAGATTATTAGAATACATAAACAAGTCTAGAACATCTGGCCATGGCAAAAAATTAGAATTATAGCCTATCAATATCTATAGCCTACTTTATTATTATTATCACCATCATTCACTCATTTTTCATTCATAAATTTGAGAGGATAGGGAACCGACTTCAAGCGACATTTATTGGGTAAAATAGAGCTTGCATTCAAACGTCATTCAGTTTACCTTTAGATCGAAACGTGTAATAAGCGACTGCACCCATTCCCCGGGCTTTTGAGTTGCCATAGCTGATACTTTCTGAGCAAGACAGTGCTTTTTATGTTTCTTCTGTCAGCACGACCGCCATGTTTCTTATTTTGATTAGACAGTAACGCATGCGCACATGAATATTTACTTTCCTTATATGGTAAAAGCACCGAAGATGACATTAATGACGTCATACCCACAGGTATCCGTAAGATGAATTTGGTTCAAATCCATATCCACCCCCGCCTCCCACAACTTTCATTATGACGGCACAGATTTGTTGCGATCTTTGAATCTATTTCATTTTATACACTGTTTGGTGGATTAAATAAATTACATCCATGTATTAATAAATAATAGTAAATACAAACGAGAACAACGAAATACTTCTTCATTGTCCGAACTATGATTTAAGTACCTTTGGTCGGGTGGGATATTTTTGCAAGCTAAGAGAAAGATTGTGACAGTGCAATTTAATTTGACAAGCGTAAGTTACATTTTAGCCACTTCTGCTTTCATGTACCTAATGTGAAAAGGAAATTTAAATTGACACGATATCAGCGCTTGAGTCGGTTATAGCTAGGCGAGAGTCCTAATATAAATACGCAGGTCAAAGTGGAAAAATTACTATCTAAGGTCAGTGGGGACTGTTTTGACCAATTCTTGGACCATGGAGTGCCAAGTTGACTAACTACCCCTCGAAAATCAAAATCCCCTTTATCTCAAGGTTATACTGTTGATATCGACTTCAAAACAATTTCGCATAATCTCTCACGAGAGCTGTCATAATTTCTAGTTTTCGGACTTAATTAAAGAAATCAGTGCAACGACAAAATGTGGTCGAACGCCTGTGCATTTCACGACTTTTCATTGAAAACGAGATTGACCTAATTAAAGTATCAGGTCATTTATAACATCCGCTTCCGGGTTGAAAAATTGTTGTAATGACACCAGGATAAGTTTAATACTCGTGACAACTATGAATTTATATTACTGAATGAACCAAATTGATAACTTATCAGTTGGTAAATGGATGATAAGCATTGTCCAATAACAAATGAGTATTCAAGCCCCATTTGATGATTCACTTCAACTTGAGGACATAATGTCTGTTGATATTTCAGACACTCAACTTATTATTGACACTGGATCCACCAGTGGTAATAGCTCAAACAACAGAGCATCCCAAGATGTTCAAGAGGTGGATGATGTGGAAATTAGATCTATGGACAACCCTGGTGTGGCAACTATTAATGGTATTAGTAAAGTGACCTCTTATATCACAGTAGCCACATTGCTATTTATTAATTTGTTAAATTATATGGACAGGTTTACTGTCGCAGGTAAACACAACATCTATTTCTAGCTCCTCCAACTCAGCTCTGAGGGAAAAGAGAAACTGACAAATGTCATCTTAGAATATATATTCTTTAGCTCAAATTGAAATGCCAGTTTAGAAAAAGGAATGATATTGTTATTCCTAAACTCAAATGTGGGTTTTATTGCTGAAATATTCCAACCTGAACTCCTGCCAGGAGTCCTGGTCATGTATACTCGAAACGATCTTAGCGCTAGGATGTCCTAAAATCAATGTTACAAGATTAGAACCTAGGACATCCTAGCGCTAAGATTGTTTCGAGAATACGTGGCCTGAAGTTTAGTATATACTCCACATATTCAGTTTATAAAAGACTGTAGCACAATGTATATACTTTACTGAATATACCATATCAATTATGTCAAATGTCAATGAGCTACTACTGAAAAACTAATTTCATGAATCATGAAATGAGTGAACAAATTACAATTTCTCAATATAGTGATCAAAGACTAGTTGTTTTCTTAGACATCTATGTCGTAAAATTTTTTTAATTTAATCTTTCATTATATGTTTTTGAATTTCAGGGGTTCTAAAAGATGTTATAAAATATTATGATTTAAATCATTCCCAAGCTGGGTTGATTCAGACATCATTTATCTGTAGTTATATGGTATTTTCACCAATATTTGGATTATTAGGTGATAGATACACCAGAAAATATATCATGGCAGTTGGTATTACTATGTGGTCTGCTGTTACTTTATTTTCATCATTTATTCCAAGAGATGTTAGTATCATGCTTGGGTAATGGGGTGACTTATGGCTTATCACACAAAAGGGTAGATTGCTATACCGGTATTGTAAGATTATCTGGGTTTGGGTACCCCTCATGGCATGAAATATTATTATGCATGTATGTGACTCCATATAGTTTGTATAATAGACAGTGTTTTATGGAACAGCAAACACTGTTTAAAGTTTTATCTGACACAGGCAGACATAGAAGAGTGGTGAAATGTTAAAACAAAACCATTTTTTGTTGTTCCTTTTAGCTAGGGCTGGGCGATATACCAGTATCACGATAAATACTGGTTCAGGAATTTGTATCGTTAGTAATATTGCCTGATTAAAAAATACCGAAATATGGCCAAATCGTGATATATGGTAGATATCATGATAAATGGTCAAGTTTTTGTCCAGATAAGATCATCTTCATAATTTTAACAAGTAACTTAATATTTATAACAGATGTTTCTTTCATGATATACAAGACTGGGATGTTTCTTAAAAATATTTATTGTTTTTTTTTACATTTAAAACTTTGAACAACATTCTGTATCAAAAACCAGGAAAAAACCATACCTAAGAAATGTTGCGATATATACCCATATCGTGATATATTAATGCTTAATATCGTGATATTACTACTTTCAGCTGTGTACTTACAATTGCTCAATTGTTTTATTGTTTGTAATGCCAGCCAGGCAAACCCTTTTGAAAATTCTCAAATGATGCAGAACAATTTATCAAAAGCCATTGTATATTTAAGTGATCAATATTATTTTTTCACTGTATATTTTTTTATTTTAGAGTTTCTATGGTTTTGTAATATTACGAGGTTTAGTTGGTATTGGTGAAGCCAGTTACTCTACTATAGCACCAACTATAATAGCTGACTTATTTTCTAAAGGAATGAGAACTAAAATGTTGATGGTATTCTATTTTGCCATTCCAGTTGGCAGGTTTGTGAATTTCTGCTTTAATGTGGCTGAATTAAGAGTTCAGCAAAGATTCCAAAGTCAATCAAAAATGCTTTACAGAGTAAAATTAAATGATATTAAACTGTTTTATTACAATAAGCTAGTCAAAATTTCATTTATTGCAATAATATGCAGACAAACCAGATGTTAAATTTCTGATAAGTGATACAGATAGCTGAAATTTACCCTTGTTATGTTGGACAAGAAATATTTAAAAACTGTGTCTTAAATTGATGCTTTAAAGTGACTCTAACATTTTCTGTCTAATTTCTATATATTTTGGTTATTTTTTCAGTGGAATGGGCTATATTGTTGGATCATATGTGGCATCTCTTGCAGGAACATGGCAGTATTCTTTACGGGTAAGTCAATATAAATTAAAACTGAGACAAACCTGATTCTTGATTCAAAGCACTGCACAGGAAGTGAATTTGTGCAAATAGATAAAAAAGATTATGCAACATATAAAGGCTTGAAAATCTCCTCTGAATCTCCTTAATATTAGCATTTTGATCCTTTGGTTAGGAGCAGATTGTGTAATATTTTGTATATTATAGGTAACCCTTGGGTTAGGAGTTGTTATTGCAATATTTTGTATATTATAGGTTACCCCTGTGTAAGAGAAGTAGTTTGTGTAATATTTTGTATATTGTAGGTTACCCCTGGGTTAGGAGTAGTTTGTGTAATATTTTGTATATAATAGATAACCCCTGGGCAAGGAGTGGTTTGTATAATATTTTGTATATTGTAGGTTACCCCTGGGCTAGGTGTAGTTTGTGTAATATTAATATTGGTATTTTGTAAAGAACCACCACGAGGAATGGCAGATGAAGGGACACATTTATCAAATACAGGTGTTATAACTGATCTCAAGGCAATATTTAGATGGTAAGCTTTCTGAAATCATTTTGATCAGACATTGTTAAAGGGAAGTTAAGAATGTTTAATGTTTAATCCTTGATCCTCCCTATTTTTTTACTAAATAGTTTGGTCAAATATTTTATTTTTGTGGGTTTCAATTTTCATGGATTTGAAAGCACATGTATGGGTGTTTTTACTCATTACAAAATCACTACAAGTTACATCTTATAAATTTGAATCATTCATTTCTATTTTAGTAAAAGTTTTACATTATCTACAATTGGTTTTACATGTGTAACTTTTGTCACTGGAGCCTTGGCATTATGGGCACCAACTTTCATGTTAAATTCCATTTTATATCAAAATCATCCAGCTACAGAGGAAAGGTTAGTTTTTGTGATATTTTGATATTTTTGTAATATCACTTTAATGAGTTTCTGTAAGAAAGTAATGCTGGAGAAGAATAAAAGAATATCTTTCTGCTTTACAAGAATGTTTAGAAAAGAGAATTTGAACATCATTAGAGAAAGGTGTAAAACTTGAGTCAGTTGGTTAAAGCAGTATTACACAAACAAGGTTTTTGAAACAAGCCACAGTTTGAATGAGTTAATTTGAAGATTCTTTGATTTTACTGTTTTAGTCTTATATTAAAATTTATAAAAATCAAATACATTTTGTCCACTTTACCTGTTAATAAGTAGTAATCTCTTCCACATAGTTTCTTATCTCTCTCAATCTCATTTTGATTATTAATCGATTATTGATCGATAGCCTGCCATGGATAATCAATCTAAATTTGGCAATCAATACCGAGCCCTACTTTTATTTATAGGATAGCTTTTAGTTTAAATTTATATTATGATAAAACATTTGATTTTATGTAAGTATTTACATTTTTATTTATAGTGTATCATTAAAATTTGGTATAATAACAGTAGCAGCAGGATTTATAGGAGTCGCTGTTGGTGCAGAAGCTGGCAGACGCTATAAGAAATATAACCCAAGATCAGATCCACTTGTTTGTGCATTGGGTTTATTATGCTGTGTACCATTCCTATTTTTTGCTTTGGTTTTATCTCAATACAATACCATTGTAACCTGGGTGAGTTTTAGTAATATCTTTTGGTTCTGGAAATAGGTTATTTATGGATTAGTCATTGGACAAAAAAAACAGCATCTGCAATTAAAAGTAAGCTATAAAACATAATATGTGCATGCAACTGACTAAATAAGTTTTGTTGACAGTTGGAATCACATGGAGAAAACAGACATGTAGTCATCCTTAGTATGTCTTCACACTGACAAAATCAATCAGACAGACATGAAATAAGTCCACTATGAAACAAACCAGCAAGCAGTAGTATGTTTATATTCTCTTGTTTTAAGTGTTGAAATCATTGGAAATCATTATAAACTAAACAAAATTTCGAAATTCAAGTAGATGTTTTATATGAATTCCACAGCTCTGTAGTATTTTTTTCTGAAATTGCAGACTTTCTTGCACAAAGAATTCTGTTTCAATTCACCTGATGATATGAACAGTGATGCAATAAATCTTTATGATGTGATTTTTGACTCACAACTATAAATATGGTATTTTTTATAGGTGTTGATATTTATAGGAGAAACATTCTTATGTTTAAATTGGGCTTTAGTAGCTGATATGTTACTGGTAAGTGATTTAGATTAGCATTTACTTGTAAACATACTTTGACAGCTGAATTTGTAAATTTAAGAATGCAACAGGTTTAAACAAAAAGTTCATAGTTTTAAGTCTGCTGCCCATGTTTAAGATATAAAAGCCTCATCAGTTCAGCATATGATGGGTGTTACTTTCTGGAAAGGATCTTCAAGTAAATCACTGAATTGGGGAACAATGTCAGAATCAAGAATTTCTATCAAATTGTAGTTGAAACTTGTTGAATAGAAATCATCACATACTGTTTCATTGTAATATTTCAGTATGTCACAATACCTACAAGAAGATCAACGGCTGAAGCTGTACAGATTCTGGTCTCACATGCTTTTGGTGATGCTGGCAGTCCATTACTCATTGGAGTGGTAAGTTTTGTAGATATCTCAATTTAAAGGCAAAGAGATTTCTAAATTTTTTATGTGTATTGCGGATACTGAGAGCATTGTTTGCACTATTTCAACTTTCAGTCAGACATCTGTGATTCTTGCAATTTCTAAGCACTTTATTACACCACTATTGCAAAGGCTCTTTGATATTAATAGCAGCTTTTGTGTTAGTGACTTCACTCAATGTCTAGTTTTAGTGGAATTGCATGAACAAAACACATCAGGCTTGACACTTGGAATGGCTGAAATCAATGATCAAACAAATCAAAACAAACTAAATCAATTTTCCTATATTTTGCAGATTTTCCTGAATTCCAGTAACATATCTACCAATACCTATTATTGTTTTATTTGTGTTTTTCAGTTTGCTGATCAGATATCTGCAGCTTATGGTCCAGTAGCTAAAAGTACACCAGTTCAATTTATATCATTACAATATTCTCTCTATTCAACGCCATTTGTATGTATACTAGGAGGTGCCTTCTTTCTAGCTACAGCATTAGTTATAGAACAAGATAGAAATAGTGCTACAAAACTTACTAAAGGTAAGACAGACAATAAGTTCTTGTTGAGCGTAGTCATTAATGATTTGTAAAATTTGAGGTTGTACCATAGCAGTTAAGCAATGTTACAAAAGCACAGGCATTTTCAGATTATTTTCCTCTGTAATGTACTGAAAGAAGTAAATAGAAAGAAATTTCTAATGTAGTTGTTTTCAATTTGGGGAGCGAGGTCTCTGAAAATTGGTATCTCAGGGCTTAAAAAACACAGAGGCTGTAATTGAACTGCTAAAATTTCACCACTGAATATTCAAAAAAGTAAATGATATTCTGCAGCTGCTAAATGCTAATTATGACTACTTAGAAACTATAGGTCCTTTCTGACTATCATATATATTTGATTTCAGGTCTTTCAACAGCTGACAGTAGTCAGTCATTACCAGCGATATTGAGTGATAAAACAGACGATGATGCTCAATTAATACAAGCATGATTATAAAAATAGGTTACAGTGAGAAGAATATCTGTCCAGAATACATGACTGAGTGTGCCTTTAATGATTGTGTGTGGTGTATGTTATCATTTCATTATAACTTGTAAGGGTGAAATTGCTTGTTTATTAGTGCTAAAAGTGACATCATTAATACTATTTCAAAACCAATAAGCTCATAATGTAAAGAACCAAAAATATGGTTGAACAAAACTCAATGGACTTTTTGAGATTATAAAGTAAACTGATGACTCATTTTAGACCAAATGTTATCTACATATCAATAGTTACAATTGGCTATATAAAGTTTATGTACTTCATTCATTTACAGTAATATACAGTAAAGATTGTTGATATATTCTCAGTAAGTTTTATGTGTTTGATAATAATTGAGTTAAGAACATGGCTATTTCTGAAATGATCTATATAATAGAAATATTTGTCTTGAATATACATTTTTAGACTGTTTCAGAAGAATATAGCTATATACATCATGAGATTTCAGTCTGTGAATATTTTTGTGTTTTTAAGAATCCTGTTCATGTATGAACTAAAAATTGATATTTGTGTAAATGGAATATCTGTTCTTCAATATTTTGTTACTTGTGTTGCAGTGTGAGGCAATTTACATGGCATATTTTTAAAATAGTTTGTATTCCAGAAGTTAAAGGGATCGTATAGAGGTTGTGTGTGTAGGGGAAACTGATCAATTTGCACCATTCCAATTTTCTATCAGACGTTCGGGTTCCTGCAATACCACTAAAACAGAGTTCTTTATGACATCACTAAGTGCGCCAACCTTATGTGATAAAGCATATTTTGCGATTAGTGACGTCATCAAACACCTAGTTTTAGTGGAATTGCAGGAACTACAGACTTCTGATTGAAAATTAGAATGGTACAAATGGATGCTATCAGTGTTCCTGATACACAAACAAAATTTAGGAAACCTCTTTACAATCCCTTTTTAACAACAAATGAATTTAATAAATTAGGATGACTTTTCTTTTGACATTAATTGAAAAACCCAGCTTCACAATTTTAACAGAAATTGAGTTTAAAAGGAGCAAGAGAAATAGCTTGTTCACAATTTAGATTTTGCTCAAGTGCTCAGTCTATTTATTATTGTCAAAATATAAAGATATAAGAGATATTTTCTTTAATCAAAATATAATGTATTTATTGGTAGATTAAGACAAATGCTGTTACAAAGATATCTATATGCATCTGAGAACATTTCCAAGCAGAAGCAAAACCAGTGTATTTTTATATAGATTAAATATAATACACAAACGTCTAGCCATTCAAAATTTGCACTTAAACCATGACTGCAATTGGTCACCTTTCTTATATCATGGAATGTAGAGAATTAATAGAATTGTACTGAAGTGAATACAGCCAATCAGAGCCTTCACTAGAAAGACTGTATTGCTTTTTTACAGATGTTTTGTTTGTGCCTCTGATTGGCTGTAATCGCTAGCAATCCAGCCAATTCGGTTCATTTACTAACTTCTGTAATACAAGAAAGGTGGTTATTGCAGTAAAGGTATAAATATGAAGTTCATAATAGTCAGACAGTGTGAAAATGCCCTTAAATTGGTCATTATGAAATACACTATCATAAAATGAAGTATAATATCATTTGTTTTGAATCAGACCCAGATGTGCTTTAATGTCTGTTTTCAGACAGTAAGAACAAAATGTACTGTTTATGTTTTGATATTTTCTTGTGTTCTACACAAATATTTATTTCTTTCGTGTTGTTGTTTGTTTGCTAATCAAGTAATCTCAATTCATTTTAAAACCGTTAATAATGTTTTAAAATAAAGGAAATGACATTTGGAATGCTCCTACACTTTGACCTTTAGCTCCTGTGTATTTAGGTAGATAATTCACGCACTATTAATATTCTGACTTTAAGTAAACACACATTCCAACTTTTCTTCAAATTGTAGAATTTCTCTAGTTCCTGATTTATTTATCCAAACAAAACCAAAGTCAGAATTTTAGTGGTTATATTCAGAAAGTGAATGAAAATTAAATTCATTTTGGAAAATTAGATAATTCAGCCCAGTTTTACAAATTTAAATGTAATTCTAAGTATTTAATAAACTGTATTGTACAATTTATAATTGAAGCAGTTTTGACAAAGGTTTTTTCCTGTACATACCAAAAATTGTCATTTAATATGTTAATATCTCAGACATTTGTTAAAATTATGCAAAAAAATAGTTATTTTTGTACATTTTTAATTCTCATTTGTTTTGTTAATGTATAAATTATAAAATTATTTAAATAAATAAAGTGTGTCATGTATGCCTATAAATAAAACGTTTCTCAGATCAGCTCTTCAGATGAATGGTTGCAAAGTATCTTTAAGTGTAGAAAATCATGTGTTTTATGTTTTGCAAAGACACTAGAAGTTTTTCCCATCAAACCTTTTTGTAGCAAAGAAAGTTGTAGGCCTTCCATAAGTAGCTGTCGAACTTCTAAAACAAAGCCAGTTGAAAATTCATGAAAATGGGGCAAAAACCTTATTACGTACTTTTGTCTGAAATTTTAGCTGATTTCCAACAATAAATTACTTTTTACAGATTGGTAAGGTTTATCTGTAATATGTACTTTCACATGAACTTTCAACTGATTTCCAGTAATAAATTATTTTTCACAGACATCACAGTGGTAAGGTTTACCTGTAATATGTACTTTCACGTGAACTTTCAACTGATTTCCAGTAATAAATTACTTTTCACAGACATCACAGTGGTAAGGTTTACCTGTAATATGTACTTTCACGTGAACTTTCAACTGATTTCCAGTAATAAATTACTTTTTACAAACATCACATTGGTAATGTTTACCTGTAATATGTACTTTCACATGAACTTTCAACTGATTTCCAGTAATAAATTACTTTTTAAAAACATCACAGTGGTAAGGTTTACCTGTAATATGTACTTTCACATGAACTTTCAACTGATTTTCAGTAATAAATTCTTTTTACAAACATCACAGTGGTAAGGTTTATCTGTAATATGTACTTTCAAGTGAACTTTCAACTGATTTTCAGTAATGGATTCTTTTTACAATTATCACAGTGGTAGGTTTATCTGTAATATGTACTTTCACATGAACTTTCAACTGATTTTCAGTAATAAATTGTTTGTTAAAAACATCACAGTGGTAAGGTTTACCTGTAATATGTACTTTCACATGAACTTTCAACTGATTTCCAGTAATAAATTATTTTTTACAAACATCATATTGGTAAGGTTTGCCTGTAATATGTACTTTCACGTGAACTTTCAACTGATTTCCAGTAATAAATTACTTTTTACAAACATCACAGTGGTAAGGTTTACCTGTAATATGTACTTTCACATGAACTTTCAACTGATTTCCAGTAATAAATTATTTTTTACAAACGTCACGGTGGTAAGGTTTATCTGTAATATGTACTTTCACGTGAACTTTCAGCTGATTTCCAGTAATAAATTACTTTTTACAAACATCACGGTGGTAAGGTTTATCTGTAATATGTACTTTCACGTGAACTTTCAACTGATTTCCAGCAATAAATTATTTTTTACAAACGTCACAGTGGTAAGGTTTACCTGTAATATGTACTTTCACATGAACTTTCAACTGATTTCCAGTAATAAATTACTTTTTACAAACATCACAGTGGTAAGGTTTATCTGTAATATGTACTTTCACTTGAACTTTCAACTGATTTCCAGCAATAAATTATTTTTACAGACATCACAGTGGTAAGGTTTACCTGTAATATGTACTTTCACATGAACTTTCAACTGATTTTCAGTAATAAATTACTTCTTACAAACATCACAGTGGTAAGGTTTATCTGTAATATGTACTTTCACGTGAACTTTCAACTGATTTCCAGTAATAAATTATTTTTTACAAACATCACAGTGGTAAGGTTTACCTGTAATATGTACTTTCACATGAACTTTCAACTGATTTCCAGTAATAAATTACTTTTTACAAACATCACATTGGTAATGTTTACCTGTAATATGTACTTTCACGTGAACTTTCAACTGATTTCCAGTAATAAATTACTTTTTAAAAACATCACAGTGGTAAGGTTTACCTGTAATATGTACTTTCACATGAACTTTCAACTGATTTTCAGTAATTAATTACTTTTTACAAACATCACAGTGGTAAGGTTTACCTGTAATATGTACTTTCACGTGAACTTTCAACTGATTTCCAGTAATAAATTACTTTTTACAAACATCACAGTGGTAACGTTTTCTGTAATATGTACTTTCACGTGAACTTTCAACTGATTTCCAGCAATAAATTACTTTTTACAAACATCACATTGGTAAGGTTTTCTGTAATATGTACTTTCACGTGAACTTTCAACTGATTTCCAGTAATAAATTACTTTTTACAAACATCACATTGGTAAGGTTATCTGTTATATGTACTTTCACGTGAACTTTCAACTGATTTCCAGTAATAAATTACTTTTTACAAACATCACAGTGGTAAGTTTTACCTGTAATATGTACTTCCACGTGAACTTTCAACTGATTTCCAGTAATAAATTACTTTTTACAAACATCACAGTGGTAAGGTTTTCTGTAATATGTACTTTCACGTGAACTTTCAACTGATTTCCAGTAATAAATTACTTTTTACAAACATCACATTGGTAAGGTTATCTGTAATATGTACTTTCACATGAACTTTCAACTGATTTCCAGTAATAAATTACTTTTTACAAACATCACAGTGGTAAGGTTGACCTGTAATATGTACTTTCACGTGAACTTTCAACTTATTTCAAGTAATAAATTATTTTTTACAAACATCACATTGGAAAGGTTTTCTGTAATATGTACTTTCACGTGAAATTTCAACTGATTTTCAATAATGAATTATTTTTACAAACAACACAGTGGTAAGGTTTACCTGTAATATGTACTTTCACGTGAACTTTCAATTGATTTTCAGTAATAGATTATTTTTTACAAACATCACATTGGTAAGGTTTACCTGTAATATGTACTTTCACGTGAACTTTCAACTCATTTTCAGTAATAAATTACTTTTTACAAACATCACATTGGTAAGGTTTACCTGTAATATGTACTTTCACGTGAACTTTCAACTTATTTCCAGTAATAAATTACTTTTTACAAACATCACAGTGGTAAGGTTTACCTGTAATATGTACTTTCACGTGAACTTTCAACTGATTTCCAGTAATAAATTACTTTTTACAAACATCATATTGCTAAGGTTTACCTGTAATATGTACTTTCACATGAACTTTCAACTGATTTCCAGTAATAAATTACTTTTTACAAACATCACATTGGTAAGGTTTTCTGTAATATGTACTTTCACGTGAACATTCAACTGATTTTCAGTAATGAATTACTTTTTACAAACATCACAGTGGTAAGGTTTACCTGTAATATGTACTTTCACGTGAACTTTCAACTGATTTCCAGTAATAAATTACTTTTTACAAACATCACAGTGGTAAGGTTTTCTGTAATATGTACTTCCAACTGATAAATTGCCACTTCATTAACTTTCAACAAATGATTTTCGTAAATATGGCATTGTTTTCTATCTAGTATGTGACCTTGAAGTTTTAATAATTCATAATTGTATGCAGGCCCGTTGTGGCGTTGACAGACTTGATTGTGCGGAGGGGCAAGTTATATATCCAGAGGGACAATGGTGTTAATTAGTTGCAGCAATAGTATTGGTATGTTGTCAGAAATTTTCAGCGGGGGGAGGGGGTCCATATTTTAGGGAGGATTACCATGCTTCGCAACTCCCACCTCGATAAAAAATTATACCCTAGACCCTTGCACACAATTTCATAAAAGGAAATTACAATACTGTTAATTATTGATTAATCCTATTGTTTATGACGATCACTCTCTATATTACAATCTTATTCTCACCGGGGGTATTGACTGGTCCTACATAATACTCCACCCTTAATCAATATAGGCGAAATAAATTGATTGTCTTATTAGGCCAATATAAAGTAATTTCTTATGAGGATATTCAAATGGACCACGTATCCAAGTAATCAGAAGAGGAAAATCCCCCCCCCCACCCCCCGTCCCTGTATTCTTCTTTTCTATTGATTTTTGTGGAAAAATCGGGTTCATTCTTATTCCATGTGCAGATCCCTGACTTTTCGTCCTATTGTAAAATTCAACTGCCCCTCTCTTGTGTGGGACCAAATCTAAAATCCACAGGGACCATCTGTAACTATGTCAGGATCGAACGCATGACCTCCAGAATAGCATGAAGAAACCAAGTGTAACTGGTTGCTACGGACAAAGCTTAAAAGTTATACCCTAAGATCGATCACTTTTTTGTGTTGGCCTTATGATGTAACTGGACCTGGTTGTTGTGGGAACGAGATTTATTATGTTAGATTAGAATAAAAACTGGCTTATTAGAATAATCTTTACCACTTGATAATCATTGGTCACTCATACCACATCAGACCACCTTGTCCCTTACTGTTGATAGAGTTTGTAGACTGTTGAAAGTTTGCTAGAATCATCAAGCTGTTTGGAAAAGTCGTCTGCTTTAAAAAGGTAAGAATGTCGACAGGGTTATTTTTGAACATCATCTAGTCCGAAAAAAAGTTGATGCACGAAAGTAACTTTGAGAGACCGTTGTCGGCTCGCCGTTCCTGGGATTTCATTTTAATGAAAAAGTAGGCTTAAGCATACATTTTCCTTCAGACAGCCATATTTCCTTGCGATTGACGGAATCTGAAAGCAACTTAAATGTTAGTGACTGTTAATGGCTACTGAGAGAATCTTGGAGAATCTGATCGATCGCAGTCATTTTCTGTTTAACAATAATTGGTTCTGGTCGACGACCTGGAAGATTTACTTGGTTAAGCGTGACGCTCATGACTGCGGCATAAGGCTCCCTTTTTAATTTGGGCATGTTAGGATGACTAAACACTCAATCAATCCCCCCCCTCCCCCCATACCCTCTTCCCCTACCCTCCTTCAAACCAGTCTCCTCAGTTTTTGCATTAATTACTCATAAACTATGTAAAACATGACAATATTGGTACTTCACATACTTTCACATTAAGGTTTGTGTGACTCAAGAAACTTAAGGGCGTTAAGTAAATGTCACGTATTTGATATACAATTAAAACGGCGAAACAACCTCTTGACATAACTTGAGACTCAACAAAATATTTCACAGTCTGGCTGGGGTGATTTGATCTACAGGTCAGCAGAGGGTGGGTGGGTCAGCAGGGTTTTGGTTTTTAAAAAGAATCGATCTTTGAGCGGTCCATTTCAAAGTTGTGTGTTGAATTCAGATTTTTATTCTATTTAATCTATTTCTACTAATAAAATATGCTAATTGCACGTTAAACCATTATAGATAATCTTATTCTTCTTTTTTTAAAAAATGACATTAGAGGTTGATAGCTTCACAAGTCTCAGTATATTGGTTTCCATCTGAATTTACACGCTAGAGATATCTATGTATGCCATTATGTATGCCTAATCATTTTTTCTTTTTTAAATGAATGATGAATATGGTAATGCGCGATTAACTGTTTAGGTACAATTCGTCACGTTCTAACGACAAAACAACCAACCTTCCAGAAAATTACATAAAATAATCCCTTTAAAGCCAGAATATTAAATCTGTTCGGTCAATCGTCATCGATATGGATAATCCGGATATCAGTTCTTATTCACTAATCCACAATAATATTGTTTTTACTTTCAACAAACTTGTCCTTGATGTTGTTGGGCAACCATTTCATATAGCATACAGTTTACAATATTTTGAGCATGATCATTCGTATTGTTTTAAAACTTAGAAATGAAATTCAAATTATAAATGAAAAAGAGAAACATGGTGTGTATAGATATTTATTGCTGAAACTGGCAATAAATTGCATTATTTTACATAGGCTTTGTTTCTTTGGATAAACATAATTATACTACATCCATTTAAACTGTATACAGTGTAAGACAGAGTGCATTCTTTAGTCCATGTCTTTTTCATTTCTCTGTACATGAATTGTAATATGATGTATCCTTGGTAACTTCGCCTTCTCAGCTATCAAGAAAATCACAAAATGTCCGACCACGGCTACATATGAATTCCATCCATAAGAAACGTTGACGTAAAATCCCTTAGATAGTTGTATGTAATAGTCCATAAAACTACACAAAAGTTGTTATATATAGTATGGATGGTGTTTTTATTGTCTTAGTTTGATCTGGAATGATTTTTTTCCAGGAAGGATAGTTTGGAAAGTTTGAAATAGAAAAGATGAATAACGATATGTATAATAGTGGTGATGTTTATGCACAGGAACCAGTCGTCAGTGAGCAACACAAGTACGTCATTTTTTAATGAATAATATTATCAATCGGTTTATACCCAATGTTACATAATGTTCTGTCTGTCATTTCAATCTGTTAATCCTTATCAACAATGGGAGGTCACGGTGTAGGAGTATTAAGCGGGTTATAATCACTTTTTGCTCTGGATTGTCCTGAATGAGATCACTGTGTAGGTCGAATTACATGAAACACATAAGGATTGTTCCACCCGAAATCCTTCATGTGACGTAGATCAGTTGAAATAAACTTGAAAGGGCGCTTAAAAGTTAGGATGGGACAATAAACCGGCTACCCGAGCAGTACAGTATACAAAATGGTTTCCGCTGAATCTGAATCTGTTGTCAAGAAGTTGGTCAGCAGAACATAATTACAAACCATGCTATACCTACAATGGATTACTGATTAATGATTTAATGATAACGAATTGACACTGTTATTATGTTCCATTTAATTTGTTTGTCCCAATATGATTACTATATCTTACGATAATAATGGATTACAATATAGTATTAGCGGAGATTAAACGCCAGTCATATAGATTGACTTGAGATTAATTCAAGCGATCACGACATAAACCTAGCAACCGTATTTAAATATTCATAAGACAGTATGAACTACCTGTCCACCATATGGTTTTACTAAAACTTTAAGGACAAGTACACCGACAAGTGCTCGAATACTGTGGATAATTTGATGTGATATACAGCAAAAGTCAAAGACGCGATCACGCCGGAGAATCAGAAACATTTGAACAGTGTACCGAATAACGATAAATAATGGATAACTTTGAAACTTTAGAGATGGATCTATTTTCCACCATGCCTCAGACATTTCGACCAAACTCATGGTATCTTCATGATAATATTTCACCACATCTGTAGGTATTCAACAAAACAAACAAACCAAATGATGAAATATAAGCCTAGTAATCATTCTTCGTAGGAAATCTATAAACTTTTATTCATCATTGGAAATTCTTCAAGGAGGATATATTAAAGATCGCAATACCTTTATTTTTGTTAATTTAAAACGATCATCCATGTCGTTGTCCAAATACATTGCTTTACGATACTATTATGTTCATCTAGCAGGCAGATTACCTTTACCTAGGTTGGACAGACTCACAAAAATTGAATCCACCAGGGCAATTTGTTTATGACGTATAAGAGTTATCTCCAAGAAGGTTACACAAAGTCACTGTTTCAGTTTAAGAATTTCAGGATATTATTATAGATACATAATGTTGAACTTCTACGGAATGTAAATATACGTTATTGCAAGTTGTAATTTTTTTATCATATAGGCTACATTCCTCAAGACAAAGGGAATGGAAAAAAATTGTTGCACATTAAAAAGCTTCCCTTTAGTGGAACATAATATGAGCATGGACATCTTCTTATCTGCTGTGTTATAAATGGATTTTAATCTTTTCATTTAAGGACGACGTACGGTTCAATGAATGATTGGATGGGCGTACAAGATAGAGTTGCTTCAACTAATGTTCCAGTCACAATGTCAGACAGCAACTGGATGCAAAAAGTAAGTCAATTGGATAATTAAATTTTTATCTGGATTCAATTAAGGATATTATGCTAATATATAAACCATATACATGGAGTGGTGCCATGTGTTTCAGTTATCTGAACATGCTTTGCGAGCGAAACAACAGAAATTTTTCAGTTCATTTTTCTTTTGCTTCAGACCATGTTAACAGAACAGAATCCCACATTCGATGATAAATACAGCAGAGCTTATACAGATCTCAGTAAACAAATAGCTTACAGGCATCCCAATCCCGGAAAGGCAAGGTGAGTAAACACAACCATATAAAGATATTAGTTTACGCCGCAGAGCCTTTGAGAAGGGATTCACGCAACAGAAGGTAGTGAATGATTTCTGCATTATTCATTGGTACTTTAGAAGTTAGTAGTCAGTAGGTTGGTTTTGACAACTCATAAAGTCAAACGTTTATGTTTTCAGAGAACGACAAGGTCGTATTGGTGGTTCATGGAGACATATCAAAGAAGTCTTGGGTCATGGAGGCAGCCGCGTTGTCTTTGTGGATGGTAAGAATGACCGAATCCCTCCACGAGTCTATAAAAATCAAGGGGCACGGGAGGGGCGCAGTGGCGGACATTGGAGGAACGTGACCGAGGTTCAGGGACATAGTGGATCGCAGGTTTGTTTTGTAAACACTCCCAGAGACGTTGAGATTACTGGTGAACTACAAACTCCACGTACCGGAAGAACTGGTCGAGCTGGTGGACAATGGCGGCACATGACTGAAGTGGTTGGCCATGGTGGTAGTCAAGTGATGTTTGTTGATGGTAAGGGGTGGTTTAACGAATAACCTCGAGAAGAATGCCGATATCTGCGCCCCACCTGAATCCATGGCTCTTTTAAACTTTAATCTCCGGCTTTTTCAAAACCCTGCTTTCTTGAATAAAACCTCCATTATTCTTAATCCAAAATTCCGCTTCTCAACGCTTTGGTCTGCATTTTTTTCGATGTTAGCTTTTTGTGTTTCACTAATTGTGTGTTGTGATTCCTTTCAATTCCCTTTAACATCTTTTTTGTCTATCTTCGTATGCATGGTACCCACAGGTATATATTTTAAGCTTTTTCCCTCAAATCAAATCCTCGACGACTCACCATTGTATTAGTGTACCTTAATGAATCCTGGAAATGACGTTTCTCTATGTCTAGGTTTGGTTGGTACTTACGATTCCAACAAGTTTACAGATCAGCTATATGAACAACAATTCGCCAGACCACATTTAAATGGCGATGGATATGTTCCAGCTAAAATTGGTCTAACCACTACAGGAATTCCCGAGTACGACCCACTTCGTACTGCTAGATGTAAGTTCCGCTCTTAGTCTTCAAATGCCATGGTTACAGTTTCCCTTTTAAAAAAATTACGCTACACTTCTCCCACTGTACACTGCAATGCTTTTTTGAATGACTTTGGAGGTTCTGAATCAATTGACATTACTTTATGGAATTCAAAGAGCTGAGCATAAGTTAATTTTTTATTCATATTTACAGTACCAAGTGTGCCTGATGCCACTCCAAGATATTATGATGAAGACGTCAGCAGAAAGATGGCATTATTAGCTGAAGATAAATATAAAGGTTTTTACAAATATAAATAAATAGTGTGAAATACGTGTATTGCATTAAGGTGCGAAAAGACGATGTCCGGTTCGGTGTACAGTGTGGGATTATTGATATAGTAAAAAATAGAAGAACCGAATCGTGTCCGCACCCGTACGATCATCCCGCACCATACTCTGCACCGGACACCCGTACCTCGTGTATTCGCGGCTTAAGTCATCAAATTATCTTATCAGTATTTATGTACAATATTTGAAATGTGCCTTTTTTTTTATATATATATATCTACTCTTTATTGTAAGTTTCGGTATCTAAAGCACAGGTATCTTTAGATCACAGGCATCTGTTTCTATCAATAGTCGACTCTATAGATCACAGGCATAGTCGACTCTATCTACATAGTATTTATATACTATGTAGATAGATTCGACTATTGATAGAAACAGATGCCTATGATCTAAAGTGACAATTTATATAAAAAGTCTTACAGGCTTCAGTACCTTAAACGATAAATAACTATTGCTTAATGAAGGAAAATAAAGGTTAAAATTTAAGAAATAGAAAAGTTTTAATATTATTTATCATCTTTTTATAAAACTTTCATATCATCTATTTATATTAACTCATAAACTCAGAAAAGAATGTAGCGCTTTTCAGTAGCGCTTCGTGTGGATTTTAATTATGACTTTACTATTACAATAGTACATGTCATGATTTCAATTCTGATTTTATTTATGGTCGTGATTTCAGTATGATTTTATTTGTGGTCGTAATTTCAATTGAATTTATATGTGGTCATGATTTCAATTATGATCTTAATTAAGATATTGCCATTACAGTATTTCTTGTTGTCATGATTTCAATGATTTTATTTGTGGTCATGATTTCAATTATGATTTTATTTGTGGTGTGATTTCAATTATGATTTTACCATTACAATATTACTTGTCATAATTGCCATTATGATTTTTTTGGTCATGATTTTAATTGTTATGATTTTGATTATTATTTTACCATTAAAGTGTTACTTGTGATCATGATATTGATTATTGATTACCATATGCAGTATTGATATTTATCATTTTTTTCTTTCTGGATAATACTACTTCATCTGTGTAAATCTCATAACTTTTCATTTTGTTAATAATCATGATTGAAGATTCTAAGAAAGGAGCTTATACAATTTCTTGACTTCTAGTTTCTTTTCTTTTCTAGAGCTTTTTTTTTATACATTAAATGATTATATACTTTCGAAATTTTGATTATGTAATCACTTATTGTAATAAACATCATTTACATCTATATTTATATATTTTACATCAGTATATAAATTATAATTACATGTATTGGTAAACTAGCTAGTACAATGACAGTTTACTGTTGTCAAAATGCAAATATGTCATAAGGCCAGACCATTTTTTTTCTTGTATAACAGATCCTCCTACCTCCAGAAATCATTAAAAAAAAAACAATATTAAAGTCTCTGCTGGAAAATGAAAAATAACCTTCTTTCCTGATGAAAAGAAAATCATCAGAAATTCCCATTATTAATCAAATATATTCACACAATGTTTTTTTACCTCCTGCCCTTACAGATCTTCCACAAAAAATCACCAAAACAAGAAAATAAAATGACCTGGCCTAATTGTTAATTTACTTAATTTTCCAAGATTGCGAGATTGAGTTCCTTAATTTGTAAATCACAATACAGCAGTTAATATAAATACAAATTTCAAATATGAAAAAACGAAAATGGTTAAAAATTGGTTCTCAAGAATCAATACATCATAATGTAAGAGCAATTAAATTGTTCAGTGATGAGGTTTGGTTCACCTCAGTCTAATTAATATTAGACCATGCTTTCAATCATTTTCTTTCGTATTTACTAGTTAAAATTAAAGCCAATTAAATACAGAAAGGAAGGTCCCTGACTAATGGTGCCATTTGCTCATGTTCAACTTTCTAGCAGAAATGTTAGCAGTGAAAATATGCAACCATCCAGTTGATTCTAGTTGCTGATAGTCGGGTATTTTAATCAATTCAACTAATTGGAAAGGTGCAATGAGATGTTGTGAATCAAAAGTTGCACTTCCTAAAGTAAAAAATATCCAAATGACCAAGACAACATACAACCACTGTCAGACCTCCAAATGTCAGAATATCATGTTTAGTTAGTGACAGTGACACTATGATAAACAACACAAATTATTTATATATAGATTTTTTTTATTTTGATAAATATATTTTATGTTTATTTTATACATTATCAACAGTACCAAATATGATTTTGTACAAGAAAATATAAGGCAATCTGAATTAAGAAATAGACAACCATTCCTGCCATAATACATTAACAGTATGAGCAATCATGAAGCAATGCTTGTTGATATTTTGGTGGGATAAGCAAATTGTACCTTTTTGGTTCCACACCCAATAAATGTAATGTTTGAGACAATCTAACATTATTTTTGACACATGGCAGTTTAAATATAAAATAATGATAGTATAAAACATCATTCACGTACTAATGCCTATATGTGCCAGAAATATAAAGTAAATTCTATCTTATAGAATAAGACAAAATTAGTTGATGAGAGAAAGAGGAATCAATTGCACTCAGTATTGAAAACATGAAACATTGATTGACATCTAGAAGTTCTTTACTTTAAGCTCCCCCTTTTGTTAGGAAGCAAGTTAGTCTGAAAAATCTTCTATTAGTTCCTCAGAAATACTTTTGTCATAGTAAAAAACTGGTAGAGCAAGGGTTGTCAGGTTAGAACCAAAGACATGTGAACATCACTGATATTGATGACAGAGGACAATTGAAGTTTTGAACATGGAATTCAGATGATATAATGTTTAAGTTAGGCCCTACTCATTGACAACCAATCTGAAACTGGATTCCTAATTCATGTCACTTGTTTACAACAGTTTACCCTGAATCGAATCCTGAATCTGGATTTTGAATCTGTGAATCTGCCTCCTGATTCAAGATGTCGTCATTCAAAGGGCACTTTTAAATCAGTCTTGCTTTTCGAATCTGTTTCACTCGTTTACAACACGAATCTGATGTACCAAACCGGTTTCGGATTTTTTGTAGTCAAGTAGGGCCTTATAAGAATAATAAATAGCTCATGGCACAATAATAATACCGGGATAAGATGATTCTAATAGAATCAAAAATAACAAACTTATTCAATAAAAGTCCATTAAAGGGTCCGATTTGCCAATCGTCGTCTTAAAAAAAAACCCAATTAAAATAAGCTTTTGTTTGATTAACAACAGCATGAAAATAGAAAACACTATCAAATTACCCATAAGGCCCTCACAAACAAGCTTTTGTCATTAGCCATTAAAAGGATTGTAAAGAGGTTTTCTAAAATTTGTATGTGTATTGGGGACACTGTTCAATCAATTTGCACCATTTTAATCTATAATCAGACATTTGTAGTTCCTACAAATCCACTAAAACAAAGTGCTTGATGAAGTCACTAAGTGAAAAGGGATTTATGTGATAAGGCATATTGTGATATTAGTGACATCATCAAACACTTATTTTTGTGCAATTGCAAGAACATCTGACATCTGGCTAAAAATTGTAATACTGCAAATAATGCTATCAGTGTCTCTTATACACATAAAAAATTAGAAAACCTCTGTACAATCCGTTTTAGGCAATGGGGCAAGGGACATAACTTTAAAACCAAGATCAATATGTACAAAAACATTTTATGTACTGGCGCTGTTCAATATAAATATAGCCAATATACACAATTCTTCTTATAAAACTTGTCAATAAAAATATCACGGATTTCTTATACAAGATATTTTACAAACAAAATTATGCATTTAAAACATAAAATACGAACACAAAACATCCATTCACAACTATGACAAACTCTACTCTATTCCACACCGACATCCAAAATCTTAAAGCCCTATAACATAATTACTGTGGCACACATGATCCCACTCTTCACTGGGTTGATTTGACATCCCTTTTAAACATTTTACACAGCCATTTACTTCATTGTGGTAATTCTATAGTACATAATTTCAGTTACACATACCATATGACATTATATACAACAGACCCTGCTGTCTGTTTACCAGTCTACCAGCTGTCTACCAGCTTATCCTTTGCCAACTCTTTATTGATGATATAATGTTAATAAGAAATACATCTAACTTCATATCATTTTAAATTAAAGATTTAGAATATTGAGGTAGATTTTCTTATATTTTGAGTTTAATTTGGACAATTTAGCTCAGTTTACAACAAACTTTCATCTTTATCTTCATTTTTAGTTTAATCTATGGCTACTTGATCAAATGGAATTTAAAAATGGATGCATTTTATGCTTGCTGATATGATACTGATTAAAAAACAAAATATTTAAAATGCAAATAAACTAAAAAAAACAAACTGATGGAATTTTTTATATTTATGACTTTTGCTTTAAGCAATAATATTTCCCTTTTGATTTGAAATTAATCCAATTTGAATAATGAATGAATGAATCCTAATTGGAATGTATTACTATCATTAAAATCAAAATGAAATAAAAACAAAAGATGTTTGTAAACATTAAGCTAAATGAAAATGATTGAATATAGAATAAAAGTGTGTAGAATCATTGGATTGTGCACTTCCTAAATAAAGAACATCTTTTTTTTTATCTATGTTCAGAATAAAAATAATCCTACATACATCTATATACATGACAGTACAAAAGAATATATCTGAGTTGCAATGGAAGTAACTCGTAGGAACAGCTACTGGCTACAAAGAAAATAATACGAAACATTTCAAGAAGCACATGATAAAGATTAACCATTTCTTAATTCAAGAATTCACATGCCCAAATAGAATATTATTTTCTTTTCTATTGATAATGGACCATAAAGTAAAACCTTGAATTGTTAAATGCCAGAAATAGTATATATGCAAATATCTTGTGCTTCTTTACCTATATCTAATTGTATATGTCTTATAGACAGTCCATGGTATTTGTTTAGAAACTCACTAATAATGGATTACCAGTAGTCAAAAGGATAATTTGCTGATAATGAACTAGATGTCCAGATGAGTTTAAAAAATCAACAAAGGCAAATTCTGGTTGACTTAAAGTTTCCCATGAGTTAATTATCCCTTGAGCTTGCGAAAATGTAATATAAATCACAATCCATAACTTCACAATTTAAGTTTGAAGCTAAACACTTGATGCTTGTTGTTTGTCTTCAGATGTCTCATTTCTATGAACAAATTGGTCGCCGTCACTAAATGAAGGCACAGGTTGTATATAGCGAGCAGGACTGTCTACTTTCTTTTTAACACAACAAGTATCTACATGACATGTCATATCAGGTCCACACTCAAATAAACAATCACGATGTAATGGATCAATCTAAAAAAGAGAGTTACAATCAAACTTGTATTAAGCATGCAAGTATGGGGTTTGGTGAATAGATTAGCATGACAAGTTGATATTTTCTGAATTGAAAAATTGCAAAAATTAAAGAGAGGAGTAGTATATCCATAATAGTGTTCATATTTATTTTATATTTTCAATCTACTTCTGAATGCCATTTAAAGATTAAAGGATGTTGGCTGCTGTTTGAAGGGTGACTTGTGTTCATGGTCAAGAAAAATAGCTGTGTCAAGGGTGGTACTGAATAGAATTATATTTGGTTGAAAAAAAACTGCATGGGGGGGATTTTTGGTGGCTACCCATTGGAAGGAACTGAATACAATTGACCATTGGTACAATGGTCATGGGTTTCAAGATTAAGCATTTTTCAGCCTATATGTTGGTATATGGAACAACTTACCTGTCCTAGTTTCTCGTCTGATATTTGTTTAGGCTGAAATTTTAGAAAAGCTTTACTAGATTATGACTTCACTTATGTAAATACCATTCAAATCACAAATGATATTTATGGCAGTGACATTCAAAATCTGGCAAAATTTCAGCACGTTCTTATACCATACTATAAAAAAGTTTGTCACCATAGCTAAAAATGTCCATGCATAATGTTCATGATACCAATTCTTACCTCAAATTCTGGTTGTATAGTAGTGGAATGTATGCCTTCATTGTGGAAGAAATCTTTGACTTCTTTGCCTATTTTCATATAGCTAGCTGGATCGTGACATCTAATATGAGCTGAAGCTACAATACGACTGCCTGCTAACTGCCAGATATGTAACTCATGTACATGCATTACACCCTCAATCTGTAAAGAAAATAGTTAAATATTTGAGATAAAAAAAGAAAACTTAATATAAACATATTAATTTTCATTAATTGTGAAGTTTCCCTTAAGAAAAATTAATTACATTTTTATATCCATACAAATTTTAAATCATAAATCATTAACTCAAAATATACAATAAAAAACAAAACATTACATTTGTAGCAAACAAGCAGCATAATGTCATCAAAAAAGATGTGTAATTCAAATTTCTTCAAAATCTCACTCACAAACCAAGTTTCACGAAAATCCAATCAAAATTATATCCCAACATGCATACGTGCATCAGCAGCATTGATTGCAAATACAAATCATTGTTTGTTGTCCTTTTACAGTTGGTTCTATAGAGAATTTTAAGCAAACTTTATCGTATCACATCATGGCCTGTTTTTATTCCATGTTCTGCACATAGACTTCATGTAGGCATATAAATATCCAAAGGAATTAAAGATGGGTTTCCTTACTTTATTTAGTGTCAAATTAAGCAAACTATTTGATTAATTGAAGTTTCTAATAAATTATCATGTAAGCTTAATCATATCATTATGTCCTTATTGCATATAATTTTGCAAGTTTGAGTTTTAACAAATCATAAATGTCAAAGTATGTACAGTCTGGATAAACAAAAAAAAGACCTTTCTTGATCGGTCACTCATTGGAATTATGCTGGTAATTCTCCTTTAATTTAGCTAAAAATGAATTAATTATGGACATGTGAGACAAACCAGTATTATTCCAAGTCATTAGAACACCTCTCCTTTCTATTCATATAAGTATTAGCATTTTCATTTTCTTAAATGAAAATAAGGGAATCCATCTTTAAAAAAGAAGTGTTGTCTGAAGAGTGAGTGAGTAAGGGTTGCACAATATAGCTAATAGAGTGAAAACGCAAAGTCAGACACAATATTTTGGTGAAAAATTATCCGATCATCACGAAAATTGATAGGAATCATCTTCATAATGACATTGACCTACAAAAGAATCTGTAAAGAATTGTAGCCTGTAGAGTACACACAAACTATTTGTGGGCGTATAAAAATGCTCAAAAACTAGCAACCAAATAGTAGAAACTCTCAAAACAAGCAGTGTCATTAAAAGTTCCATTTTTCATTAGCTTTTATCTTAAAATAGCCACTTCAGTATAGGTATAAAGATGGCCTTTCTTGGAGTTTGATGATACTGCCAGCCAATCAAATTCCTGCCTTTTCCAACCTATAAAATTTTGTGACTTGAACAAAAGGTGTATAAAAAGTGACATTTTATATCTGGCCCTAAACATGCTAATTTCTCATTTGAATATCATTTCTGAGCAACAAATTTGTCATTATAAGTATATGAGGGCATTAAAGGAAAATATACAACAGAATCAAGGTCTATAATGTAAAACCTTGTGAAAAGTTGTAAATCAACCTTACGCAGTTAATTGGTAGAGTATCAATACCTGATAATTAAGATAATAATTAATGTATTTCTAGATTCTAATTACCTCCATTAATTTCTTACTAATCTCTTCTACTTCTATATGTGATGGTACTGTTTGTAATAATATTCTGGAAGAATCTTTTACTGTAAATATATCATATATATCACATTATTAATCATTCTTTTAATATAGTGATTGATTCAATTATAGACTTAAATACGTTTCTTTCAAGTTTTAGTTCTGTAATCAAGGGAAATATTCATTTCTTAAGAAACAGCAAAGGAGTCAATATCACAAATTTCTGCAAAGGCTACTCGATGAATTTAAACCATAATTTTGAAATTTGGGTCACTGACATTCATTTTGCTATGCAGGGTCACATATTATGTTATCATCAATAGCTGTTATCAAATGAGAGGACTAGAATAGAAAAATGAAAGGATATGTCAAGTTCAAGGCCAACTTAAATAACAGAGCAATTTATCAAGTTAAACATAGAAACACAATAATTACTTACATAATGGAATAGATGTAGATAAAATAATCATAACCATAGCTATACTGAAAAAATCATAATATACATAGTTATATATTTATATGACATTTTCATACAAAGACATAATCAAGGTGATATATCTATAAAATCTCAATATCTTTGTACGTCAGTTCATTCAGGTACAATGGTTTTGTTAGCTAAACTAATCAGTAATATACTGTCCAGAATTATCCACATTTGACAACACGTCTTTTCATGAGACTACACCATATAAAGAAAAGACATGTAGAGAGTGAAATTTCTAGTTCTTCCCAAGACATTTTAAACTCAAATTAAACCCTGAATATGCCCATGGTTTAAGCATCTCTTTTATGAATAGTCTGGCCAGATTGCATAAACATCATAACTTCCAAAGATAGCTTGCCAGGCAAGGTAATATACGCCCACTGATATTCAATAAGTCTGTCATGAATTGTGTATTTGCAGATTATATTCAAAAATATAGGCAATAATTCATACTACATATTTTCGATTTCCCTGATTTTTCTATAGGGTTTATCCTTGGGTGAATACGAACACTCATACCAAGTTTCGTCAAAATCTGTCAAGAATTGTGCCTTCTAGAGTGTTTACGAGCTAAAAATTGAAAGGTTTGCAAGAACAAGGTCAATAATTCATACTAAATATTTTTCCTATAGTAGCCTACTTATCCAGCAACTCAATTCAATCTTCCAAGAAACAAAACCTTTCCCCTATGACCCATGTTTAATTTCATTTTTGTATCAGCACAATTGGTGAAAATGAAATGATTAAGCAAACCTTTTCTCTTGAATGACATTTATAAAATGAAATCAGATAAACTGCTGCATCTTGGGATGTCACATGACTAAGCTATGATTGGATATCTGTCTTGGATTTTCCACTTGGTCTATTTATAGTATCTTATGATGCTGTACATGTATGGTGGCTGGTTAGGGACATGTTAAATGATTAAATTAAATTTTCTTATTTGTTAACCAAAATAGTTTCTCAGGAAAATAATGACATCTATTGTAAATTGTGATTATGAACAAAAAAATTGAGACTTGTAGAGTCTGTCAAGAATTGTGCCTCCTAGAGTGTTTACGAGCTAAAAATTGAACGCGTTTTCAAGAACAAGGGCAATAATTCATACTTAATATTTTTCGATTTCGCTGATTTTCAATAGGGTCTATCCTTGGGTGATAACGAACACTCATACCAAGTTTCATCAAAATCTGTCAAGAATTGTGCCCTGTAGAGTGTTTACGAGCTAAAAATTGAACGCGTTTGCAAGAACAAGGGCAATAATTCATACTCAATATTTTTCGATTTCGCTGATTTTCAATTGGGTTTATCCTTGGGTGATTACGAACACTCATACCAAGTTTCGTTAAAATCCTTCAAGAACTATGCCTTCTAGAGTGTAGGGACATGTTAAATGATTAAATTAAATTTTCTTATTTGTTAACCAAAATAGTTTCTCAGGAAAATAATGACATCTATTGTAAATTGTGATTATGAACAAAAAAATTGAGACTTGTAGAGTCTGTCAAGAATTGTGCCTCCTAGAGTGTTTACGAGCTAAAAATTGAACGCGTTTTCAAGAACAAGGGCAATAATTCATACTTAATATTTTTCGATTTCGCTGATTTTCAATAGGGTCTATCCTTGGGTGATAACGAACACTCATACCAAGTTTCATCAAAATCTGTCAAGAATTATGCCTTCTAGAGTGTTTATAAGCTAAAAATTGAACGCGTTTGCAAGAACAAGGGCAATAATTCATACTAAATATTTTGCGATTTCGCTGATTTTCAATAGGGTTTATCCTTGGGTGATTACGAACACTCATACCAAGTTTCGTTAAAATCCTTTAAGAATTATGCCTTCTAGAGTGTTTATAAGCTAAAAATTGAACGCGTTTGCAAGACCAAGGGCAATAATTCATACTAAATATTTTTTGATTTCGCTGATTTTCAATAGGGTTTATCCTTGGGTGATTACGAACAATCATACCAAGTTTCGTCAAAATATGTCAAGAATTGTGCCTTCTAGAGTGTTTACGAGCTAAAATTAACAAGGGCAATAATTCATGCTAAATATTTTTCGATTTCGCTGATTTTCAATAGGGTTTATCCTTGGGTGACACATATAATAAGTTTCGTTAAAATCCGTCAAGAATTGTGCCCTGTAGAGTGTTTACGAGCAATTGTGGACGGACGGACGGACCGATGGACATGGGTGACGACAATATACGCCCCCCATTTCACGTGGGCGTATAAAAATTAGACAAATTTATCATTTATCATTATCAATGACTGTACACCAATAAGAAGACTACAAAATACTGATTATACATACTGAAGGTATTGAATTTGATCTCTTACAATTAAACAACATAAACATTTACCTCATAGCAGGATCAACATAATATTTCCAATCTCCTTCTCCAAACCAAATAACAAGTGAACTAATAACAACAATAACAGACCCTAGGGCATCACCCAATACATGTAAAAATACACCTCTCATATTTAACTGAGAACTGCTTGCTGGAAAGGATAATAATGGAATGAAATGAAGACTTATGTCATAACTTTTCAGCTTAAGATTAAGCTGGATGAGGATCTGTGAAGTGTGAAATAAGAAAATTTTGCCTGGACAGATGTACTAGCCTACTATTTTTCAATTTCAAATTGTTGAGGAATCTTTATCACCATATAACAGATGCCTCTTATCCTGATATCAAGTGAGTTAGTAACACAATGTCATAGATATGTTTTCTGTTTCATTTTCATGTGATATTTGTCCCTAACATTTGTTCAACTAGAGGCTATCTGAAAATGTTTATCAAATCTCTTCACTCTTGTTCTTTACCTTTCCAAAAAGCTCAGTGAACAACATTATAGAAATGGTTTGATTTATATTCACCGTTGATTCACCATTCTATTAACTAAGCACATGTGGTTATAATATTCAGTGATTAAAGGTATTTTGAACTAGGCTTTTGAAATTTGATATTTTGATTTTGTAAAATTGATTTATAGAATTTGAGTCATTCTGTATTGTACAAAGATAAAAATATATCAAGATCTGAATTTCCTCACCAACTTTCATATTGCTAGCTTTAGTTTCAGCATCATCAACAACTACTTCATTAAGTTCAGTAACAGCTCCATTTATTTTATTGCTTGCCTTCACCTGTTCAACAAGTGCTTGATCTTCATGATATCCACTACAATCACCATTGAGTTGATGATTATCCCCCTTCTTTCCATGACTGTGACCATGACCTTTCTTACCACCATGTGAGTGACCATGACCTCCACCACCATGTGAATGACCTGAAAATAGATCGGTTAAATTTCTGTAAGTGTCTTTCCAAAAAGTGACAACAAAAAACACAGAGATGTTTTTAACCAATTATACCAACCAAAAGGAGCATAATAATATTTTTTATCTGAAAAAAAAAATTTTGAGTAGGCTAAAGACATGCCAAGAAAACATCACATAGGGTACCTGTATATATTTAGTTAGGATCAGCTTGTAAAACAAAAAATTTCATTTACAAGAAGAAATATTGGACATATGTCATTTTTCTCTTGCAATTGAGTGGTAACATTTTTAATAAATTTTAATAAATTGAATTATAGTGGCAATATATCATTTTTAACAGATAAATAAGTCAAACAAATCATTTGCCACAAAATTTTTAAAATAATTTGCTCAGTTATGTCATGTCATTGTTTTAAAAAAAATATAAAAATTTAAGTAAGCTTTTATAAAACTTCATTAACTTTAACTAGCCAGGTTACAAATATTTTTCTTATTACATTCAGGAAATAAAATAAAATCTACCCAGAAAATTTAAAAAATAAAATATCCTATTTATGACACACAAATACTATCAATCAAAACGATCTGTGCTTCATATAGTTAATTTCTTGATTTGAATACTAATTAGATGCACTTTAATATATATAGCAACTACGAAATGTGTGCTTGACCAATTCCTACATCGTAGAAAGGAAATAAAATCTTTTTAATTTTTTCTTCATCACTTAATGTGGTTTCATTCTTTGAAAATTTAAACTTTGTATATCAATTTGAGGACGGTACTCTGACCTATTCAAACACTAACTCGTATAGTAGTACAGTACTGTATACGAGGTTTATCGTTTTCAAGAAAAAAAGAACATAGAACCTGGTATTATATAATATTTTACGAGGATTTAAACTGACTGTTTATATATGTGTTATTTAATTGGTGGTTTTCTAGTTTTGATCACAAGATCTGCGCTTTTACAAGCTTACAAACGGTACTAAAAAATCAAAATGACAAAATTTGGCATATACAGGGTTTCAATCGGTCACATAGACAACATTGTTGGCTGACATTGACACTTTTAGTTAAAACTATAACAATGTATACTGGTACAAAAATAATTAATACCATTTCAATTTCGTAGAAAGGAAAATTCATAATAAAGAGTCTACAGGTAAGTTAAACAATTGTAGACTTAACCTAACCATCCGATTTCCATTTTGAAAAGTATTTCAGGTAGCGGAAATAAAGATGTATCAGTATGTGAAAAATTATATTTAACAACTTACCATGATCATGAAAAAGAAAGAGACCAATAATATTGACTAGTAATCCAACACTACCAACTATTAATAACAATTTAGGATCTTCAACTTCCTCTATTTGTATTAATCTTTTTAAAGCTTCCACCATAATAGAAAAACATAAAGCTATGAGAAATACTGAGTTAATCATAGCACCCAATACTTCAGCTCTCGCCCAGCCAAATGTATTCCGTTTCGAAGGCCATTTTGACATCTGAAAATAAAAAAAAAAACAGTTGTGAGAATCTGAGTAATTAAAAATAAACCGCGTGAAAAGTTAAATAATGCTCTAGAGGCAACGATAGTCTACTTGTAGCAGAACCAAAATCTGAAATTTGGTGAATCTAGTACTTAGATTACAGTCTCCGTAATTTATGGGACAAAATCAATAGTCAAAGTCATTAAACAAGATCATATTCTTGATTTGGCAATACCAAAACTTACTTGTTTCAAATCTGGCAACTAACTTTAAAAGTGCACATTGAAAGTTTCATACATTAGAGCTAATAATAGCACAATGATTTTGAGCATAAAGGTCCATAAATTTCAAAGGTAAATCATGTATATGTTTGTTTATCAAATAATTCAAGATTTTTTTCTAAAAATACAATACGGTAATGAAGAATGCATGGAAAATTAAAAAAACCCCACCATGTCTCCCTCAGTGAGCAACTTTATCAGATTCTGACTTCAATAAACATTATCTTTTCAAATGTTTAACAGGTTTACACACAACACTGTGATTTTTCAAATGTCACAACTTCAAGTTCATGATTAAAATCAGTGATTAACATTTATTACAAAGTAACAAAATTCAAGAAAATCCATTGCAGATGACACTGTTAATTTTTCTTAGCTGCAAGCTTATATATTAGTTATTATTCATTTTTTGAACTCTTTACCTTACTAAACATTATTAGATTACAATATCTCTTACAGATAAGCAAGACAATATATAGGCCCACTGGCATACTAAATATTTTTCAATTTTATGGATTTTTAATAGGGTTCAACCAAGTTTTCTCAAAATCCATAGGGATGGTTCCATATAAAGTGTTTACACTCAATTGTAGACAGACACACCGACAGATGGACATGTGTGAAGCCTATATACTCTCAGTATTTAAATCAAGATGCTTCATGGCACAAGATTTTTCATAATGGTTAGCTTATATAAAACTGAAGAATAGTACAGCCTAGTTAAAATACAATACAAATAGTTTAAATAAACAAGCCCTTAAACAGTGATAAACTAGTGTTCATGACCTAAACAGTAGTTTACAGTATAATTTACAATCTTCCACCTGCTGTCTCTTAACTGATAATTCCACTTTGATAATATATAGTGACCATTGATTTCATGATAGTTAAGCCATTTTGGGAGGGAGTCTGCAGAAGTACTAGAAATGTATGAAAGCTTCAAAATTCCTTTAAAAATATCTCAAACTAAGAATTTCTTTTCCAATTTCCAATGTCTTCTCTATAATATTCTAGTGTCTCTTGAAAAGACGACTCTTCTTTTTAATTTCCAGACACACATGGATTTGAAGGCTCAAATTCCAAAGGTGAGCTGTGAATGTTATTTATGATTATCCCGTTTCTGAGCCTAAGGTATGATTGGTCAAAAATATATTCTGACCAATCTTAATATTCAAGGAAAGGCAATTTATTGACAATTTAAGCAGAACATTGATGTAGAAGAAGTGACCTTGGCCAGTGATTCTATAGAAGAGTATCTTCTATAACATCCAACACAAAAAATGTTCACATAGCCTAATCTTCTATAACACTCAACACCAGATAAATCGTATAGACAAAATTTTTAAGATGTGAATCAGATATATATATATAACTAGGAATATAGATCTGATTAAGCCACCCATTATTGAACATTATCATATTGCCTACAGCACTGATAAACCGGTTATTCTGTATTGCAAAAAACATCATGAAAAAAGAAGGGAGATTTTTTTTTCAACATGTAAGTCTGACTCAATAGACTCTACAACCTTTGTTTCCAAAACTTTTGGACTCTTTGTACTCCTTTTCTTTGTAAGCACTTGCCAAAAGTTGTGAATTTGCTCACACAGTAGAGACATAGGTCTAATTTTACAAAACAAAAAATAATTCAAACCACAAAGCCTCTCACACCTCTGCAATGCATGCTGCTATCCACAAGGGGGATAATAGTGCCTCACACCAGGAAGCAAAGCTGATTATGGCTAATTGTGACCTTGGCCAGCATTTAATCTATTTGTTAAAGATGGGTTACCTTATTTTCATTTATCTTAACATATATATTGATTATTGGATGGCTAATACTTATATCAATATCTAATGATATAGAAAATCAATTTGTCTTATTATACGCCATTTATTATATTCAGGAAAGTAAAGATTACTTTTCAATTCCATATATGCTAAGTCATTTGTCTTGTCACAAGATAAACCAACATTTATTTCCCCATAATGATAAGATCAACATTCATTCCTTAATTTATTATCTCCAACAATCAAAAAGTTTGCTTGATATTGCTCTTAAATATGTGAAAAGCCATTTTTACCTCCTAATGCTTATTTTCATTTGGGACCTTGCCTTGTCAGAATGTATAAACTTGTCTTGAGTTTTCAAATTCTAACCCAATCATTCAATTGGATTCTAAAGTTTTATTGATATATGTGTGATTTATGGCACATTTAAAATATACATTAAGAATCAGGTGCATTATTAAAACATCTGTATGTATATATGTATCATTTATTGTATAAATTTGTATACCGATTATATAATTTTTTATAAACTTAAAATTGATTTTTATCAAAAGTGACTTGTAGTCCCACAATAGCAGATGGTAATCAATACCTGAATTCTTTTTATTTATATAATATTTATATACTTGGTTGGGTTATTATATATTTCTTTATATAACATTTATAACAATGATACAATAAAAGAAATTACTCACCCTCACTGAAGCAAATCCTATAATTAAAGCCACAACATCTGATAACATGTGGAAAGAGTCAGCCACTAATGCAATAGAATTTGTCACATATCCAACTACAATCTCAACTAAGAAGAATGAGGCTGTCAAACCCAGCATGGTGAGAAGACGACATGTTTTGCTGGAATATTTCCCCATCTTTAAAGCTAGTTAACAATCTACTCAATCTGAAATAGATATGAAATATATCTAGCAATTAGGTAAAAGGCTTTTACCTTCATCATAGATAAGCTTACAAATGCTACTTTACAAATTTTTCCTTTTTTCTTAAATTCTTGTCAGTCAATATCTCTCCAGGGCAATACAAATATATGTCAGAATAAACTGTAAATTTATTCAAAGTCAGGACAAATAGACTTCCAATGACCCAGAAGACTAAAAATGCTTCAGAAAGATAAACCACAGACTTGCCAACTACGTATTATTTTCTTTCAAATGACAGTTAAATTTTATTGTAAGTATTTTCGAAAAATGGCAATCTTGATTTGAAGTCCTTTACTTATCTCTTGTTTACAATGTTTACAGAATTGAATTTTGCTTATCATTGTAGTATGAATTGAAATATTAACTACCGGTCTACTGGTACGATATTTCGGTCTAAAAATATCAAGAGTTTAATTATCCATTTAAATGCCAACATTTGAAGTTTCGAAACCAAAGTAAAGCCCATACATACTTGTCTAGTCTCTTTGATCACAAGCGGCTTGGACTGTAGAATGTAATAAGCATTTACTCATTACTTCTTATATTAATAAAGGAAATGATAAAACATAGGTCAATATCCTATCTCATGTACAGAACACCTGATATCAGTTTAATCCTATCTCTCCACTACTACAGTTTTAAACTCACCTCTATCACCCGATTTTATTATCAGTATAAATGAAGATCAAACTAACTATGAACAAATTTCTTAATCTATTATATTACTATAGATAATCCACACACACTACCTAAGAGATTAAAAATATATCTGACATTCTAAATAAATGAGATAAGATTAAGATTTAGTAATCAACTTCTTATTATATCTCCAAAATAGTCAAAATAAATCACACTAAATCATTTTTGGATTCCCAAACCAGTATGTGTTATTCCTGCACACTGCACGTAATTTCCACTCGTTCCCAAGCAATAAATCATGACATTCAATCCAAACAAAACATTGAATAAATTCTAGCAGAAAGTATCTCTTCTTGCACTCGTCACAGAAAAATAACAAATGAGATATTTTTCGTTCAGTGTGCAAAGAGAAAAACTAGAACTTTCCCAATAACTTGAATGACATTTTGCAACGAAAATAAGATGAACAAATCACTTACAGTTCCTGTACTGCACTTTCATTTCAATTTTTCTGCACAAATACCTATTTTACTTCAAGTTTACTTTGTCAGAGGTGGATAACTATTTCTTCAAACTTATCTAGGTCAAAGGTTATAGTCAAGGGAAATAACTCACATTAACCAGGATAACGTAAAATTTCCGACACTATCATTGCGTAAACGAAGTATTTTAATGGAACTGTAAAATTCAGCCGAATCGCTCATTAAAGATTGTACGTTGCCTATTATTTGTTCTTAATTATTAGGATGTAATGGGAGTCCTTTAATACATATATATTAAGACCGTTTCCAACTTATGTAGTCAAATATCCCGGAGTGTTTTAATTATTAATCAAGCAGCTAAAATTAGTTTGGTGTCGGGCCTCACAAAAACACAATTTTTTTTAGAATAAGTAAGCTAACGTAGGAGGTTTTATTTTGCTTTAGTCCACACAGTTGTTTTCAAACACCTCCCAAAAAGCAAAACGAACTTAAAAAATTTACAAAAGTAGCCTAAACAGTTTTATACGCCCTCATTATAATGTGGTCGTATATTGTCGTCGCCCCTTTCCGTCCATCGGGCCCGTAGCTATGGGGAGGCCAGGGGGAGCTCGCCCCCCCCCCCCCCA